TGGTAGAGTTCATTGACGTGTAAATAGAACCTATAGGATATACTGTTTGAAGTATTTCTGTCTTTAACGTTTGAAGCTCTGTTTTGTCAGCTTTCTTCTCTAACATTGCTGGTAGTTCGTATGCTTCAAAGTTTCTGGTATGATCTTCGATATTCCTGCAACTCTTATCTAAAATGTTAAGAGTACTTTTTACGCTTGTACTTGGATTTTCTAATGGTGCACTTGAACCAAGGTCAAAGTTCAATACTATGTCGTCTGCTCTAAAAGTTGTAAAACTTGTATGTGTATGGTTCTTGTCGGCTTTAAGGTCTAAACATCCTGAAACCCACCCTGTATCGGCTTTAGTTTTTAAAATCTTTGTTGTCCGTTCATGGTACCATTCAACCCTTTCTATAATTTCATTGTCTTTTTCATCCACATATTCCTTATCTGCCTTCTTATCTAATGCACTAGCCACACGTGCTAACTCATCGTCAACATACTCTTTGTCAGCTTTGTTGTCAATATCTGCCTTCAAAAGAAGTTCATCTATAGGTTTCTCGTTTAAAGTTCTTTTTGTTGGATTTATACAAACAGTATGGTTCTTGTTGTCTTGAAACAGAAACTCGTCTGTTAAAGGGTTTAATGTCAGTTTTAAGTTTCCTTCTTTCAATGACTCAGATATCTTAGAATAGTTTGAAAAGTTTGTTGTGTTCTTATTTAGAGCTTGTACAATGAGTTGTCGGTTGTGTTGTATTTCTCTCATAGACGCTGTTTCTTTCGACATTTTTATTCTAGATAAAATATGCTTTCAATAGAAAAAGAAAATTCAAGAGTTGCTACAACTAAACCATTAGATGAACTTTTTACGAATGTCGGTCAAAAGTTTGAGACAGAGACCGTAAAGCATGAAGGCTATCGTTTTGACTACCCACTAAGATGGTTAAGAGACCCATCCGTCACAAAAGCTATTGGCTTTCGTAGAATGAAGTTCATTTCAGAAGCCATACATGGTTTCCCATTTACGGTCGGTTTTGAAGTTCGATACTATAACAAAGAAAAACGTACGTATGAGAAATTTGAACAGGGAAAACTTTTACAAGTGAATTTGCTTGTAAACTTAGAAACAACTCTTCAAGCTTTTCAAAAAAAAATAAACGATATCTATCTCGAATATGCAAACCAGTTTAACATTGACGAAGGAGAGTACCATCTCGATATTTTATATGACAGGAAAAATGCAACTGTTAAAATCAATAAAATAGAAGACCTTGGAGAAGACGTTTATATTTCTACAAAATATAACAACTTGGCATGGTATAGATTTTTGAGGATGTTAAATCAGCCTGCAGAATATCCAGTACACCCGGACTTTTATGAAGTCGAAAACCCTAATGGAACATATGAAAATGTTTTCGACTCAGATGCTATTATAGTTCATGCTTCATTTTCTGGTGCACAAAACTCTTTTTTATGCTTGGCAAATGACTTTTACGAAAAACCTACAAAGCTATATGAACCGCCGAGTGGAAGTATTTCAGACTTTCAAGTATTACAACAGATGGAAGAAAGAGAATAGTTCCATTATACCATGCGTTTTACTTAGAACTTAGTCTCATATACAACTACTATCGAACGGTAAAAATATAATCTTTTAATACGGTTGAGGTGTTGGATTTGGTTGCCAACTAGACTGTGGTGCAGGTTCAGGCTGTTGTATAACAGGAGCTTGTTCTTCTGGTTCAGGGTCTTTAGGTATAATACCAACGAACTGACCTACTCTTTTACCAATATTTTTGATACCGTTCCATACTCCTCTTCGACGAGATTTTATTCCATTCCATATACCTCTTCAATTTCGAAAGAGTTTCCTATTCTTCCAAAGAAACCCATTTTACTATATGTAAAAATCTAATGTCGCCTAGTCTCTTACGTTTCCTGTTGAGTTCCATTGCATTTTTTAACTGGAGCTCATACATTCTATTTCTCCTCTGGTAGAAAACATACTCTGGGTCAACTCCTGTGTTCGCGTCATCTGCATAGAGTTGTTTATATCCCACTTCAGGGTTTGTATAAAACTCTTTCCATCTCATATTTGCATACCATGGTGGTAAGCCTAACGCAGCGTCATTTGACATGGCAGTTTGCATTTGTACATCTGTTGGCACTTGACCATAGTTTGCCATTGCAGTTTGTATTCTTAACTTCATTTGGAATATTCTCTGGGTTTGGTTGTCCAGGTTGCTGTGCATTCGCTAAGTTCTGTGCGTCCATTTAATATTAGATAAAAATCTCTTACGAGTACATATGCTGAACATTTGCAGGCAGTGGTTCATCTTCATATTCTCTATATCTTTCTGCCACGTCAAATAATAATGACAAATGGAAAAAACCTAAAACAAGTAGTCCTATTTCAAACCACATTTAGTTACTAGTAAAATTTCTTTGTTGTGACACTTTTTCCGGTTTATAGGACCTCTCTCATATTCTATCTTATCGTAAATAAACTCATAGTCATGTACGTCCTCTAACATCTCATAACGGTTTCCAAAACTTTTATCGGATGTAAAGTAAAAGCATGGATGTTATGTAAAACGTCTAAAGTTTCTAAGAGTCCTCAAAGTCCAGTCTACTTGGTATTGAAAATCATATGTGTTATAGAACGGCGGGTTCTACTATAAAGAAAACATTTTCCTTGTTTTTATATTTTTTCATACAACTCTGTCCAACGACATCTCACAAACTCTATACCCTCAGTATATTTTTCTATGTTCTCTTTGAAAACCTTTGTATAGTTAAGATATAAAACGTTTGACATAAGTGTTTCAATGTCATGAACTCTTATAGAAACTACTATACAATAGTCTAGAAGATATACTATCCAGTCAATATACTCTGCTTTTTTCAAACCTCTCTGACAGTATTTTTCTTATCTAAATGGTATACGTTCATCTTACTATAGGTATCTTTTCTTTTAACTCTTTCAATATTTTGTTTGTGTCTGGTATTGTTTGAGACGGTTCATATAGTGTTGTCGAAGTCATTGCATATAATCTTTGAGTTTGGGAATACGGTATGGCACAAATGGGATATATAGAAACTTCCACCGAACAAATCTTACAAATGTTAGACCATTCGGTAGTTTCTTAAGTTCTCTCAATAGAATATCTTTCATCTATCTTATTTCCAAGAAGGGTAGCGGTGGTTTTGTAAAATTCATTTTAATATTTAATAAATGTTTTTCCCTGAAAAGTGACAGAGAAGTGACAAAACATGAAAACTACTCGGTTAAGGTCTTGTCGGTTTTGTAAAATAACCATCCTATCTCATTCTATAAGGAAGAAAAGGCTTCTCAAAGTATACTTCTTGGAACGCCCGTAACTTTTCTGTAGCGACGATAGACCCTTACTTGTCCGGACATAGTTCTACTATTTTGAGTCCTCTACCGAAAAGTCAACAGCAACGACTTTCAAAAATTTTTAGGGCTAGAAGGCACGAAGTGCCTGGGAAGCCCGCTTCACCCCAAACCTCATTTTATATAAACTGCATGTTATACTAAACATCTTCAGGGGGCTAGAGGGGCGCAGCCCTGGAAGCCCCAATACCTTTTTTTTTTTTTTATAGAGCCAAAGATGCCATTTCCGAAAAACCGTATAATTTTTCAATGTAACGGCCAAATTTTCCTCAATTCAAAATCAATATTTTTATCGTCATTTTCATTTTCCATAAATTAATATAAATATTTGAGCCAAGATAATAATAGCTATTTTTTCTCCAATAGAATTATATTAGTTTCATGAGTTCGTTTAAATAGGACAAATTACAGAATAAGTGAAGGCAATATTATACATTGATATATAATAGTATTTCGGACAAAGTTTTACCTCGGATTTCGTTTGAAAATTTGACTATTATGAACTATTGTTATCGATTAAGGTTGCACTTACCGCTTTCTGACACAATATCATATTTCTAGTTAAAGGTATTCATCTTTTTGAGAGAATGCCAGAGAGCAGTAAGTGCGCCCTTAAAAGAAAGAGGAATAAATTCAAAAGGTAATTATTTAAGCTATCGGAAAATATTTGAAATAACTTTTCAGTCAATTCTATCGGCGCGAAGCGCTGATAGAATTAAGACAGTATATATATAAACAGTAACTTTTGACATTATGAATTTATAGTAAATTAGCATCCTATATTTATATTTTTTATGACTTAATTTTGATAGTTTTCGTTCAGAAATTTTAATCATATTTTAAGTAAACATATGTTAGTATTCTTCATTACTTGTTTGGCGCTTTGCGCCAACCAAATAGTGAATAATTCAATTCTTCAAAAAATTATTTAATTTGGCCGAAGGTGGGATGTTTGCCCGAATGGCAAGCGAAGCCACCTGAGGCCCCAAATTATATTTGATTAAATATATATCTTCACACTGCAGATCAATAAATCACATGATATGCTTGTTAATTTATTTTTACAGGAACAGAGCAAAATTTCAAATCAGTGTTAATTTAGTGTGAGAAATCAATTTGTACCACAGTGATCAGCCTTTCACGCTTACAAATTCAAAAATCGTCAGAGCTCATAATTGTTTTGAGTTATTTATCAGTAGTAAACAGTCCTTAGTTAGACAATCATGAATCAAGTTTCCAGATGAAGAAAAAATTATCAAACACTAATAATATTTATTAAAGATTTTCATTTCATGAACAAAAGAAACGTAATTAACATACCCGCTTTAGTTCTGCTATTAAATATTTCAGAAATTTCATCATCAGTTAGAGGTTTTCTAATATTCGTAAGAGAGGCTTCCGACCAGAAAGCCCTCTCAATTTTATGTGATGTTTACACCGAAAGTGAGATTCGTTAAGCGTTTTTCTCGTTGAATATTGAGTTTCCCGGATTTTAAGTTATTCATAAAGCTCCTCTATATTATACCCTATCTACTGATATGATTATTTTTGAAAAATGCACTGAATTTTTTAGGGAAAATACACTTTTGTCTAAAATTTTTGGTTGATGTCCAAGGGAAAAGCAAACCAAACTCATTATGACAAATTGATGGGGATTTTTACAGGATATAATGATGTCTTCAATGCTTTGTACAGGCTGAAAACAAATGACGAAGAAAAATTAAACGCAATTTACAAAAAAATCGAACAAAACCTGATCAACTCTTATCGAATTCCGCCTGGAGAAATTATCAATAAAATATCTCAACTTTCAATTTATAACAACCGCTACATGAAGTCATATTTAGCGATTGCCAAACAAATTGTTGACGAATACCATCTAAATCAGGTCAACAAAATCAACATGGTTTTTAATTACCTTTTCTACAAAGAATACAATATTGTATTGAATGAAAACGGGCAAAAAAGTTTTAACAATTTTGAAGATGCTCATTATTCATCTGATATTCACGAACAAAAAACAATTCACAGATCTATTATGGATGATGACAAAATATCATTTATAAATTTTACAGAAGGAGAAGGATTTGATAAAAATCAAAAATTAAAAAGTGATTTATATCCATATTCAAGAGGAGGTTTTTCGTTACTTGAATTATGTTGTTATCATGGATCTGTTGATTGTTTTAAGTTTTTAATAACGAAATTTCAATCAGAAATCACTCCAAATTGTCTTAGATATTCGTTTTTGGGTGGAAATCAAGCCATTCTGAATGAATGCTTGAAAGTACATAAGCCAGATAATGAATGCATGGAATATGCAATAATATCACACAATATCGATTTTGTTACATTTTTGATGAATGAACACAATATAAAAATTGATATAGAATTGTGCTTTAAATACAATAATCTTCAATCATTTTTAGTTTACTTGGATCAAACAAATGACATCAACACATGTTTTGTTTATTCTCCGAATTTCCATCTTTCATCACTTTTAGAATATTTTATTTCAAATGGTGCAGATATCAATTCTAATGACGAATATGGATGTACCCCTCTTCATTATACAGCCATGAATAATAGTAAAGAAATCGCAGAAATTCTTATTTCAAATGGTGCAGATATCAATGCTGAAGATGAATATGGATGTACCTCTCTTCATTATGCAGCTAGAGATAATAGTAAAGAAACCGCAGAAATTCTTATTTCAAATGGTGCAAATATCAATGCTAAAAACAAAGATGGATCTACCCCTCTTTATATAGCATCCAGGCGTAATTACAAAGAAATAGTAGAAATCTTTAATTTAAACAAGACAAAATAAACAATTTCCTTGTTACCTATAATAAAATTTAAATAAATTTTCTGATGTATCAATGCTTCAAAATAAAACTCAAGAATTATCCCAATAATTCATTATTCTAATCATAATGTTAATAGATTGTATACTATATTATTTAGTTCATAATATGAAAAAGAAATAATAAAATAATACCATGGATTAAGAAGAAGCATCATATTATAGATATAATATGTTTTTTACCAAAGTCCAAGATTTTTAGTAGAAGCAATAATAAAAGTTGAAGGTGCAATAATATTTTCAAGCCTTTTTGCGAGCGCATCGTGATTGAAGTTAGTTTGCATCACATCGCTGCATGAGTTTGCAGTGATGTGATATGTAGCAGCACCACAAAGGATGTATGATGGATAAGAATCAGATACGATCGCTTTAGCTCCAGATTCGAATGAGGAAGAGAAATGAGAAAAGTCTCTCACTCCGCAGTAGTAGATCAAGTTCACAGCGGTCTTCGTGAAAGCAGAGGATCCGACATAGGTTGCTCCTAAGCAGAGTTTAAGGATACGACCAACATCAGAACCGTAGAATGAGAGGTTTCCTATGTGCTGCACCATAGCAGGAACATTAGTAACCATGCTGCAGTTCATGAATGACTTGTCGCCGATGTATACAACCGACGGAGGAATAGTGAAAGAGTTTGAAACAGTTCATGAAGGCGTAATCAGATATCAAGTCGATGTTCTTGTTTATTCTTACGCTCTCGAGAGATTCGCATCCTGAGAATAGACCTTCTGGAATTGAGTAGTATTCCTGACTAGACGATGACGGGATTGACATCAGTTTCTTAGATGTTGACTCGGGATCTCTCTTGATGCGACGAATTCCTATTGACTTAAGATTCGTGCAGTTCTTGAATGCGTAAGATGATAAGTATACATCACACTCGAGGAAGAAAGTCTCTATCTGTGTATCTGCAAATGCATAAGAATCGATTCGAGATATCGTTGTGCCATCTCCGATGTTGAAATACTTCAGTCTGAAAGATGAAAACGCGTTGCTTCCAATAGAGGTGATTGCGAGATTAGGTCTTATGTTAACTGTTGTTATAGAAGGAGCACCTCCGAAGCAAGAAGAAGTTATACTTACGAAAGAGTCAGGGACAGTGTAATTCGTCAGTGATGTGCATCCTGCAAATACTGTCTCACTGATAGTAGACATTTTCGAGTTAGCCTCAACAGATATATTTGTCAGAGAGACGCAGTTCAAAAACGCGTTCGCTCTTATCGTAGTGCAGTTTGCAGGTATGTTGATCGTCGACAGATTTTCGCAGTTTGAGAATATTTTTTCTCCCAGTGCGTTTAGAGCGCAGAATCTTCCGAAAGAGAAAGTAGTCAGCGATGTGCAGTCAGCGAAGATAGACTCATAGTCCAAATCTACCAAAGCGAAGTCAGGGAAAGTGATGATTGCGAGCTTAGTGCATCCTGCAAAAGCACTCTGCTTGACTGTCTCAAGAGACGTGGGAAGGTCGACGCGGTATAGAGATGTGCACGAGTAGAATGTTCCTTCTTCGATAATCCTAAGTTTGCATCCATCCTCGAATGTAAGATTATTCAACTTAGAGCATCCCCAGAATGCGTTAGAACCGATGATGATTATGTTTTTGTATATGAAAGCTGACGTTTTTCCACCAGGGCAGCAGACAAGCTTCTCTTTGTTTATCGTGTAGACGATGCCATCTTTGCTAACATAGTTCTTGTTATCAGTTGAGACGTTTATCGACGTCAGAGATGAGCAGTAACCAACGGATGATGGATCGAATGTTGTCACAGATGCAGGAATCTCGATTGTAGGCAATGATGTACAAGACTTGAAAATTCCTCCTCCAAACACTTTCAAATCAATAAATTTTGAAAATTTAACTGACTTTAACTGAGAACAACCGCTAAATGCATTCACCTGAATAGTTTTTATTGATGATGGAAGTGAAATTGATTCTATTGCAGAGTTTTCAAATGCTAGCTCATCAATATAATTCAGCTTTGACCCTTCTGCTATTGCAAAGTTTGTTAAAGATTTTGTTCCGGAAAAACATCTATCTGTTATTTTTTCAACTGATTTTGGGAGTACAAAATTGTTTAATTTAGGACAATATTGAAATATTTGACTCCGTAAAAAACTTACAGAACAATCAGGATGAAATGTAACAGATTCAAGTGAATTACAATGATAGAACCCTACATAATCAAGTGACTGTAAATTTTTTCCAAAACGAACTTTTGTAATAAGACTTTCTGAAAAACATTCACCGTATATTGTAGTGGGACCCTCTCCAAAGAATTCAATATTTTGTAATTTGGAAGCATAAAAACAGTAATACAAAAGAGTTGTTACAGATGATGGAATATTGATTGATGTGAATGCAGTTGTATAGAAGGCAAAAGATCCGATATATTGTAATCCTTCGTTTAATTTAACATTTGTAAGTTTTGTACAGTTGTTGAAACAATATTCTCCAATCGCAATACAATTAGGATTCAGAGTAACAGAAGTAATGCCTCCAATACATGCAATTGCAGTTACGAATCCTTTAGTGTAGACAATACCGCCATCACAGCCATATTTTGGATTCGATGCTTCAACATTAATCCTCGTCAGTTGAGTGCATGATTGAAAAATAGTCTTCCCAAAACTGGAGAGAGAATAAGGTATAGTGAATGATGTTGTTGATGATGACATGTATACGATTTTCTTTCCATTCTTCGACATAAGCGTTGCTGGATATATAACTTCATATACTGGATTCTCTGGATCAATTTCTATCAATTCTATATTTGATGCACCTGTAAATGCATCAATATCTATTTCAACTAAAGAAGCAGGAATATAAACTCTTGTCAAACTGCCAACTTGATTGAAAATGTATGATGATATATTTACACATTTCGAAGGAAAGCTGAAGTTAACAATATTTGCGCAATAAAATGCTAAATTTCCAATCGATATAAGTTCACTTCCTTCTTCAAATTCAATAGTATTTAATTTTAAATCCGAATAAAATGCTTTGGTTTCAATTGTTTTAACATATTTAGAAACAAAAACATATTCCATGTAAATTATATAATCCCAGCCACTGATAGTCGAAGCTCGACAGCCTTTTCCCATGCAAATTTTTTCGAAATTTGATGTTCTAGCAAAACCATATCCGATTGATGTGATTTTTTGTGGGATATTCAAAGTTTTGATATTTGCACATTCTGTAAATGCATAGGATCCAATAATAGTTGTCTCTGATGAAAAGTCAAATGATGTTTTCTGTGGGGGTAATCTAATAAGGTGATTTTTTCCTTTGAAATATAATGCACCATAATTATCAAGTTCTAAATATTCACTCGCATTAGGAAGATAAAAATTTTTGAATGCATAACAGTAATATGTATCATAACCTGTTATTTGTTGTAAAGTAGATGGAAGATAAATATCTTCTAAAACTGAAAAGTAATAAAATGTACCTTCTTGTAATGCCGTACAGCCTTCTCCAACATGTACGATTTTGACAGAATTCCTGTCGCAGTTTTGTGTTAATTCGGTAGCTGTGAGAGTTCCAGTTCCTTCGACGAATAATGTTGTTTGTTGAGTTCTGAATGAGAAACACGAAGATATTTGAGTTAGATAAAATAATATTTCTTAGTCCTTCATTAATTTTAATGAGGTTTTGTGAAAATTAAGAGTAAATACAATACAATAATCGTCTTTTTATGATTTTTTATTGTTTTTTTTCCATAGTGAAATCTATGAACTGGGCCATAATTCACATGAAGCATTTCATATCAATCCATATTGTTGAACAAAAATGCAAACATAATTGAATTTTATTTAATTAGAATGTGGAAAACGTATTCTACATCAATTGAATACGCCGAGCAATCAATCATTGTAACTTTACAAGGATAAAGGATGTGATTGCCAAAGATGGAGAAAACTATAGTTATGAAATTACGTGCAATCAATGACAATAAAGATCACAATATTGTAAACCTCATTGGAGTTGAAAATGTTGTCCACTATGCAATTAAATCGCTTATAAATATGAAAACACGTGTTGCAGCGACAGAAATAGCGATAGATATTGACACACGACGAAATTTGAAGAATGGATCTTCAAGTAACTGTGTGATCAAGGAGGGATTACAAATAATGGTATAATATGTGATTCATCTTATGGCCATCCGGACGAGCTCCTCAATGGAACCATCACATTAGAAGATTAGAAGGACCTTTACCATCATAATTTCTCATCAGGGGAGTAAATATTGTGCTGGAGAGCCTCGAAAAGAAGTGACAAAATGGAGTAATTTGTTTCTGAACGTAGATAAAAATATGAAGGTATAATTTCTGATTTTGGATGGAAGTTTTCAGAGGAATTGGATTCATAGATATGTCTCTTATAAAAAAGTAATCAGAAGTCATTTACAAAGAGAATAATTTATTCTAAAAGATTTTATTCAGCCTTAGGCTTTTCTGTATTCTGAGGCTGTTCTGCGTTCTGTGGCTTAGCTGGTTTTTGCCTCTTGATTGGATGTGTCTTGTCATATATCATTGCAGCAGACCAGACAATAAATTCGTAAATTGGGAAGAACCAGTAGTTATTTCTCTTGATTGTGATAACTGCGTGTGCAGATCTGTACCACCATGGAGAGATTGAGTTCAACATGGTTGAAATAACCCAGATTCTTCTTGGAATTGTCTTCCAGAATGGTGTTTTCTCGGTAATTGGGAAATGCTTTTCGAAAATCAAGTCAGCGTTTGTTGCCATGAGCATTTCTGGAAGAACCATGTAATATACTGGATGGAAACCATGCCAAAGAGCAGAAGCGGCAAAAACAGCGTTATGAGCGTAAACATAAGGAGCTCCGTTGTCAAGCATTGGATAGAAGAGGTATTTCTTCCAGAAAAGATGGGCGGTGTGGTTCCACTCTTGAATCCAGCGGCCAACAGATGTTGTCTGTAATAATTCTGGAATTGTGCCGTTTGTGACATCCTCGTATGTTGCGAAGCCGCAGCTTCCAAGTCCGAGTTCGTAGTAAGCAGCATCGACGTTAAGCCATGCGCAAAGGTAACGTGTAATGTTTGCGAGAGTAATTAAGAGGGTAACAATTGGTCTGACGTAGAATGGAAGGCTTGTGAACCATTTGCCAGTGTAAACTTCGAATTTTGTGTATGGCATGAGGACGAAATTGACTAAAGCCATGACAATGGAGTGGATCCAGCGACTGCGGGCGAGCTTGCGATCTTTAGAGTCATCCTTGATATGTTCGCTGGTGCCGGCATCGAGGATAACACTGAAGAGCTTGAATTCGATGGCTGGACCAGAATTGCCTCCAAATGGAGTGAAACAGAAAGCTAGCCATTCAAGAAGAGGTGGTCTTTCGAATATGGCCATATCCTCGTGGAATTTCCTCTTGATCTTTTCGCCGGCTTTCATCTTCTTTCCGTAGTAGAGATTGAAAATTGTTCCGAGGACTTTGTGGAACATGATCATTCCGATTGTGGATACTTCGAATTTCCATTGGCCACCAAGGAAAACAATGAGATAAATATGAATCAATGTGTTGAAGAAGCAATCAACGGCAATTGCAATGCCAATGTGCATATTTAATGTAAGCCATGTGCCGAAAGCCATAGCAATAGCAAAAGGAAGCTGTTTTCCGAATAATACTAAGCAGAAAAGCAAACCGGAAACAATATGATAAATACTGGCAACTGTTCTCGATTTTATTTTAGGAAGTAAGTAGCGGGCTTGAGGCCAAAGTGAGAGATCTGTAAAGAATAATATAGCTAGAATACCAAAGTTTTTCCAAATGTACTGAAGGAACTCAATGATATCCATTTTTTATTGAATCCTATTTTATCTTATTTTTTCAATGATGTAAGACCCCTGTAATTTTTTTAAATACGATCGAAAAATTTTACATCACATGGCCAAGGCAACTATACATATATGCAGATTATTCTGCAAGTCACGAAACCTCTCTCCAGAACATATGAATGGCCTTCAAATTAGTCTTGTAATAAACAGAAATTCATCAAAAGTGACAGCTCTCAATTTTTTGACATTTGTAAATTCTAAATTGAATGAGAAAAATGAAATAATACTAAGCATAATACAATATTCTAGATTTAATTATAATTAGGAAAAAGTTAGTTTTGAGAGTACTTTTCATAGGCATATAGAATGAAATCTTCTGAAAAATAATATCACATAAACTCATATTATTTTCTAATATATAACTATTTTATATAAAAATCAAATTCAATGATCTTAAAAGCGAAGGATAAACCTCAAAATTTACGAATATAATGAGTGGGAATATAATGCTTATCTATCATAAAACCATATGAAATATCAATTTTTGCTTTACGCCTAATTTTTGACGACAATTAGCAAAAAATGTTAAATGTTAACACTCAGTCCATTTGAATATGAAAAATAAAATTGACTTTGATTAAATGTTTTTATTTATCATGCAATTCTTCTTGCGACCAAAGATTTGAATAAAAGTTCAAAAAATAAGATAGCTTAAAAAGTAATATACGGTAGTGTTTACTAATAGATGAATAGTATATAAATTCTATTAAAATGGATTTGATCCAAAAAAATATACCCTACGTTCCCAACTTCTGGAAAACGGTTTTTCACCCTTATGATCAGTTTCAGACACTTTGGGAATCTCCCAAACTTTGATATTTTGCATTATGATAGAGAAACGTGTCTTGTTTAACGCACAGTTGTTTTAAAGGCAAATGATGATATCACATGAAATTATCAAATTATCAAATTTTGAAGTACCAGTCCAAAGGGTTAATTAGATCCTACACAGATGTGCGATAGTGAAACATATGTGTTCTTGATTTGAGAAGTCCTACTGATAGAGGTATGAATCTCACAGCTTTGTGTGAGTGTGTCTGACACTTGTATAGAGTGGAATATGCGCCGACATATATTATATAATAACATGTAGTTGATAATTATGAAAAAATAGAATTTGATGCGAATGATATTGAAAGTTGTTTTGTAATTTGATATTTTTCTTATATGTGTTAATTAGTAAATGGCTTGTTTGTTGTGATCGTACTGTGAAAAATGAAAGGTATTTTAAATTAAAAAAATGAGATTTTGAGATATCTCTAGAATTAAGAATTTATTATGTATTTGACTTTTATATAACTATGTGTAAAGGATCTCGATGTCTATATGCTTTAAATAAAATTAAATAAAATGAGATAAAAAATTAAAATGGACAAGAAGATATATGGAAATGTAATTTGTATTGTATTGGTTGTTGGCAAAATGATTTTAATACAGATTTAAGGATTTGGAATGGATTTGAAATTAAATGATTTTTATTCAAGGAATAATAAGATTTTGAACTGGTTTTTATTTTGAGAATGTAAACTCCTTCCATAGGATATGTATTAGAAAGATCAATTTTAAACTTTTTGAAAGAATTGTTTTTTTGTTGAGTGATTTTCTCTCATTTGATAATATATTTAAGTTGGCGTATCTTACGCCCTTCCAAAAATATGTATTAGAAAGATCAATGTCAAACTTTTTGAAAGAATTGTTTTTTTGTTGAGTGATTTTCTCTCATTTGATAATATATTTAAGTTGGCGTATCTTACGCCCTTCCAAATATTTCTTAAAAATTTAAATTTGTCTCATCTCCTACTCTTAATTTAAAAAAATTTCAAAATCCATAATAGTAAACATTTCTTATTTTTATTTAAATCTGAAACAAATAAATTTAAACAATTTCTCTACACACGACGGTTTCGGCGGTTTTCAGAATGGTTGACAACTGAATTCATCAGGATAATGTCGGTTGGGGTGCCCTTCTTGGCCTCCTGAGTACTCACCAAGATACCCCCAGCTCTCGCAAAACACCTCCCATAGGTGAGCATTAACTGATGAAGTTATTGACAACTTTATCTGATTTTTTTCTTTGTTTTTTTGTTAAGATTTCTTAACCAAAGACTCGAAAACAAAACTTCGCTTCAAGTTGCTGTCTTCCCAGTTACTCTGTCGCAATCTTTTGTCTGATTGCGTGCAAAGTTCTGCTCCATGAATTATCAAATATGTACCATTTCAGGAGAGATAACAAGCTCATGCCTCCTGGAATGGCGGATTGTTCAACAATCTTCTTCTGATTGCAGAACTTTCAACCGACAAGAGTGCACAATACACTCTTGTCGGTTGAAAGTTTTGCAATCACATTCTGATTGCAGAAGATTGTCTCATTCTGGGAGACATTCAGAGGCAATGTCTCCCAGAATGAGACACTGTGACCGACAAGAGTGCACAATACACTTAATGTTTTCAAATTTTCAGATTTAAATTTAATCTTTATTTTCATCATCATTTATAGTCTTGTTCCTTTATACAGTTATAATAAATTATCGTCAGATTCTAATATTTAAGATTCTTACTACTCAATTCAATATAATTATGTTAGTCACTCATATTCAGGAGAATAATTTAAAAATCTATAGCTCATATTTTGATAGTTATATATTTAGATGATATATATTGCAATTCCGGTTTCAACACGATCAAATGCCAAACCAAGACAAAATATATATGAATTTTCAAAATATCGATTTACATTAGAATCTATATCTAATTTTATCAATACACAAGTAGTGAATGTTCAATACATCTTTGAGCAACGTGAATAGCACAATTTTATAGGGTTATTAGTTGATTATATAAAATATAAGCCAAATCGAATCTGCTGTATAGTACTTTAGTTTATCATTGAATGTTAAATGTGTTCATATAAATATTTGAGTCAGATATCGCATTTTCTAATTTCAAAATTTATCTCATGAAGTTAGAATTTATTTGATCATACAACATCATGTTAGTCAAACCAGAGTTCAATGGCGATTCTAAAATGGAACAAATGCTTGTTTTATCAAAATGTTAAAATATTAATCTAAAAAACTTAATATCTAACCAAACCATTCTAGAATTATTATATACAGGTATGGGCAATCTAAATGCACACAGAATTCGGAAAATTAAAAAGAATATTTATGAGATTATTAAATCTTATGTAATTCAATGAAAAGTAGATAATATGAATATCCATAGGCTATATATCAACATATGAGTTTTTGGTTTGACCAATACTATACTAATGTGATCAAATTAATCTGATTTCTTAGATTTTCATTTGAAGCATTTGCAGTAGTAGGGGTACCTTTATATATTAACATATTAAAAAATTGCGCTCCGATTCACAGTTTCTTCATGATTTTGAGATTGCATTAGATTTCGCGATGCAGAAAAAAATCACTTTAGATTCCAGTCAAACTCTAAGTATAAGCATGTCTCTATATGTAGAAACTGTCTGCGCTATTTATTTCCCGGCTCAAAAAACCACGGTGTCTGTGTGAGGAAAATACCCATTTTAGGACCCTGGGTAGGGGGTCATGAAAATTTTCCAAGAGTTGGAAATATAGGGTATAAAATTTGATCATAAATAAAATCGTTTTAAATTACTTCTTCATTTAAATTATAACAATTATTTTTGGTTTTATATTTTTTTGGATCAAATCCATTTTAATAGAATTTATATACTATTCATCTATTAGTAAACACTACCGTATATTACTTTTTAAGCTATCTTATTTTTTGAACTTTTATTCAAATCTTTGGTCGCAAGAAGAATTGCATGATAAATAAAAACATTTAATCAAAGTCAATTTTATTTTTCATATTCAAATGGACTGAGTGTTAACATTTAACATTTTTTGCTAATTGTCGTCAAAAATTAGGCGTAAAGCAAAAATTGATATTTCATATGGTTTTATGATAGATAAGCATTATATTCCCACTCATTATATTCGTAAATTTTGAGGTTTATCCTTCGCTTTTAAGATCATTGAATTTGATTTTTATATAAAATAGTTATATATTAGAAAATAATATGAGTTTATGTGATATTATTTTTCAGAAGATTTTGTGTTCTTCTTCAAAATTTTATTTTTTTATTAAAAAGAATCTTTACAAAATATACATTTACTTTAATTAATATTTAAAAACGTGCTCTATCAAAAGTTCCAAAAATTCAATATTTTAGCTTTTCTGAGGTGTCACTTTTGATGAATTTCTGTTTACAACAGTCTAAATGCTCTGATTTTGGTATTTCAAACATTTCGCTTGTAAAGTTAACATAATCGTCTTTAATTCTATATGGTACATCATCAATTGGACCAAGACAAATATGAAACACTAAATAAAAATTGTATTTTTATTGCTGTTGGAAAATCTAACATATTATAAAAAATATGACTGGAAAAGAAATCTTGACATCCAAGTTATAAAAATTCGATTGCTTGAACAAATTTAAAAGAATGATAATAAAAATATTTATAAAATTTTCGAATTTAAATAAACGGATACTTTAAAATTCGAAAAGATAAAAAACATAAATAATATATAAAAGGAAAAAACACAAAAAATAAAAATCAAAAAATTATCTTATTTTTGTTCTTCTTTTTGTTCTTGTTGAGGTTGTTGAGGCTGTTGTGCTTGTTCCTGAGATTGCTGTTGCTGTTGTTGTTGTTGAGCAGCGGCTTCTTTCTTCTTTGAGCCTAGTTGGACCCAAACTTTGAGATTATCACTGACAGAATCAGCATTTACACTTAGAGCAGGGAATATTCTCTTTACAACGTTATACAAAGGCAAGCATATGAAGTTGTAGAAACCAATTTGTCCCTTTGGTTTATCTGCATTTTCTCTATCATTTAATGGCGAAGAAAGTCCTAAACCAAGCTTCTTTTCGTTATCTCCTTGTCTGAAGAATTCTTCGTTCAAAATATCGCACCATTTGTTTGCGAAATCGAATGGTCTTGATACATTTGAAATATCACTGACCTTCAACAATAATTGCATTGACAACAAGCGACAAGCAGGATCATTCATGTCGAATTTGCCAGAATCAAGTAATTCCTGGGCTTTCTGGACAATACTGAAGTGCAATTTCATATCAGTTGCTTTGATCATGTGAATGATAATTGTCCAAATTCTTGGAATGTCTTCTTCAGGAATTCCTGTGAAAATGTTTGTCTTTTCTTTGGAAATAATACCAATAGCAACTGTGCAATGGTAAACTTCGAGAACAGACATATCCTTGAACAAAATACCCAAAGGAAGTTGTGCTTTCTCGTTGTATTGGTTGTTAAATCCATTATGATTTGCATCATGACAAATTGTTGCAACCAAAATTGCAAGAATTTCAAATGGAGAGAAAACTTTGCTCAATTCTGCTTTCTCGAGCTGATAAACCATGAACTGAGTAACATCAACAGCATGCGTCCAGTTGTGATAAGGAATAACATTGTATGTTTCGCGGATAGTCATAATGAAACGATAAAGTAATCCGGCGGTTATATTGAATTTCTTCATCAAATCGAAGTGTTGGAAGAAATAGAAGAGCTCGGCGACTCTTTCATCTTCAGAGAAATCTGGTTGGAACACTTCTCTGAGAGTTAGTTTCTGCTGGATTTGTTCAGGCAGAACAAGTCTTTCAGGTATTTCACATTTCTTTTCTTCTTCAGGATTCAATGCGTTTTCTTCTTCTGTGCTTAATGTTGAACCAGCATCTGCTGCTAATTTGGCTGAGACGTTCTGGTTCTGAAGGGCCATGGCAGTGAAGGACGTGAAGAACTGGAGAAGGTTTAAGTCTGCTTTCGAGAAACCACTTGGTTTGTTGATCATTTCTGCAACACCAAGAACTTTTCCTTTGTTTGAAAGAACAGGATAAACAAGTAAATTAGTTACTCTTATTCCTAACTGCTGGTTCAATGTGTCATCGTATCTTGGATCTAATTGGACATTGTTAGATATTGCTCCTTCTTTGGCTTTACAACATGATGCGGCCAAACCGTTATCTATCGGCAGAAGAATTTGTTTATCAGTTCCCTCGTAGAGAATTGATTTAAGCATGTCTGCCTTTTCATCAAGAACGAAGACACCGGCTCTGTCTGCTCCGATAGAAAGTCTTGCCAGTTTCATGATATCCGAAATCAATAATGTCAACTTATCCGTCTTGCTTAATGAGAATGCGCATTCTACGACAGCTCTTAACCTCTTCGAATTGTCCAAACTCTCTTTGAAGAGCTTTGCATTTTCAATTGAAATTCCGCAAAACGCGTTGAAGACTTCGATGACTCTGGCATCATTCTGAGTGTAATTGCCACCATATTTGTTAACCATTTGGGTAACACCGATGGGTTCTCCAGCAGTATTTTTAATTGGAGCGGAAAGAATGGTTTCGGTCTTGTAGCCTGTCTCTTTGTCTGTTGTTGGGTCGAAATACTCGTTGTTGTAGGCGTCATTGATGATTAATGTTGTTCCATCTTTGACAGTCCGACCAACTATACCTCTTGTGACTGAAATATCAATGTAATTATCTAGACCAGTCTGGATTGTTGTAATTAACCTGTCTTTGGTATCATTCATCAAGAATAATGAGCAACGATCTGAATGTGTCAACATACGAGCTTTTTCTACAATGATATCGGATAATTTCTCAGTATTAAGCTCTTTAGAAACTTCCTGGACTGCAGAAAGGATTGTTGTCAGACCTTCTCTTTCCATTCTTCCGGCTTCGAGGTCGTCTTGTAATGAAGTAACGATATTTGAGTTCTTCACAGCCATAACAATCTGTGGAATCACTTCTTGGAGGACATTGACTTCATAATTTCCGAAAAATTGACTTTCTTGGCGGCCACGGAATATACAAGCCCAAATTATGTTTGTTTCTGCATCAAGATATGGAACACCAAGGAAAGGAAGGTCATCACTGCCATCTAAAGACTCAATAAAGGCATTATGTAATCTTGAGTTTGTAATGTTGACCATTTCATTGGCGCGAAGCACGTGACCGGCAATACCTGATGATAGAGCGTTCATCTTTGTCATTTTGTCTGTATATTGGAACATTTCTTTTGTTTTTGTATTTAATGACCATAATTCGAATGTCCTGGCTTTGAAAAACTGACAGATAACTGGACGGATGTTCTTCATGAAATCATTGTTGTTGACAACATTGAAAATTGACTCAGTAAATTTTGTCAAATTTGGCTTCGGGAAAATCCATTTACTGAGGAATGAGAATTTGTTTTGGAACCATTCTGAGAATTGTACATCATCTGATGTGAATGGTTCGCCATTAACTGGTCTAATAATCTCAACAACCAAAACAGGTTGATTTTTCTCGTTAAACAATGGGAAAACCAACGCTGGAGCATTGAGTGGTAATAACTTACTATCTGCCATTGGATGAAATGATGGATGAGCAGGAGGATTTGGAGAATTAATCGTCGTTTTTGAATAGAATGCGTAACCGACTAAACCAGACATAAGTGGAACTGTTTTAAGTGTTGATGGACTGTAAAGGAATCCTAAACTAGGAACGTTTTCCCAATAAATTACTTGTTTTGCCGCTAAGTTTGTGCGGAAGAATAATTCAATAGTATCACTAATGCTTTTGTTAAGTAGTTTTTCTAAGAATGAATCCATTAATGGATCGTAGTTGTTACCAACTGGAGATATTGGTTCGTTATTACGTGAAATTGGAGCAGTTTGGAGTTGTGGAGAAGGACTTCGCTGCTTAATTAAATCAACGCCAGGTGGAAGAATTTGGGGCGTATGAACTTGAATATTTTGTGATTTATTTTTTGGAGCACGAAAAGCTCTTCGTGGTATTGCAATTTTTTCTTTTTCTCCCATCTTGGAGTTCAACATCTCGCGCCGTTTTTGGTTGAGCTGAGTCTGAGGACGCTGCATCAATCAATCGACACGAAATAACGTACAAGCAATTTTACGATAGATAATTGCTACATATCATGATTATTTTCTATGATATATCCTATCGTGCACAAACAATGCAACTTTGTCTCTCCAATGTAGCAAAATAGTCATAATTTAGTTTATAAAATTTTTAATTAACATAAATATTGAGTTATGGATATGATGGTTCTCAATAATCATAGGAGTTAGGAATATCGAGCATAGTCACTTCTAAGTATCGCTTCAATAAGAGATTTCCAAATCTAACTTCCATTGAATTGAACCATATTTGTATAATATTCACCATATGAATCTAATCGAGATTATCTTTTTAGTATTAATCCATATCAATGAACTTAATTTTGAGATAAATTTTGATATAACGAATTTTGAATAAATGATTTTGTCATTTAAGAAACTACTCTTGAGTTCCTTTCTATATTCTCCTCGCAATAATCAAAATTCATCGTACAGTTTGGAAAATTCTGCTTTTGAAAAATTTTGAGATAATTACAAAAAAATTAAATGGACTACACAAAATGGAGCCCAAAGGAACTTGCTCAACAGCTTAAAAACCTTGGTTTTGAGGCATATGCACGAAATTTCCGAATTAATGATCTAAAAGGTTCGCATCTTCCATTTTTAACAGAAGAACACTTAAAAGAGATGGGAATTACTAAAATTGGACACAGAATATTACTTATGAAACGTATTAAACAGATAATTAATGGCGAAAATCCTACTCCCGTCCACTTATCTGGAGCACCTGCAAATCATGATTCACGACCATCCTCAACTTATAGTTCTTCTCCATCTACTCCTCAAGAAACTGAACATAATATCCCACAGAGGGTTATGCAGCGTCGCCAACAGCAAGAACAACAACAAACACAACAATCAGAAGAGGAATCTTCAAATCAATACGATTTAAGACAATCAGTTCATTCTAAATTACGTTACCTTAGTCAAAAACAACCAGAAGAAGATAATACAGCACAATTAAGTTCTCGATCTAGGAATTCTAGAATTCAACCAGCGCCAGAGAAAGAAACATTTAGTACAGCGGCTTCTAACTCGTCTGATGCAGGACAAACAGAAGGAGATGGAAAAGTTACTTGCCAATATTGCGGTAGAAGGTTAGCTCCTGATGCAGCAAGAAGGCATATTCCAGTATGTGCTAAAATTAGAGGAAAACTAATGAAAAAGTAAAATGTGTGTTTATTTTATTTCATAATTTTTAATTTTTAAGGGTGCACTTACGCCCCTATGACATATCCTTCAATTCAGATGTTTAAGGTTAATTTTCAAAGACGCTTCACGCCAGTTGTCAAAAATTTGAATCAAAGTCAGATGGGCGTAAGTGCAGCCTTAACAATTTTTTTTATTTTCAAAGTAAAATACTGGCCAAATGTCAGTCCTCTTTTAAAGTTGAATGCTAGAATATATATATATGTTTTTACACGATGAACATTATACAATAATCACCTTATATAGAAATACTAATCCTTTGCACCATGTGAAATAAGAAGTTCGGCTGTTTCTTTACTATTATAAATTGCTGCAATATGAAGAGCGGTTCTTCCATTTTCATCTTTTTCATTGATATTTGCACCATGTGAAATAAGAAGTTCGGCTGTTTCTTTACTATTATAAATTGCTGCAATATGAAGAGCGGTTCTTCCATTTTCATCTTTTTCATTGATATTTGCACCATGTGAAATAAGAAGTTCGGCTGTTTCTTTACTATTATAAATTGCTGCAATATGAAGAGCGGTTCTTCCATTTTCATCTTTTTCATTGATATTTGCACCATGTGAAAGGAAGTATTCGAGTAAGGATGGAATATCGAGCCATGCTGAATAAAGAAAGCATTTGTTAACATCATCAGTTTGATCAAAATAAACTAATAAAGATTCAAGATTATTGTCAATTCTACAGTATTCTAAATTGATTTCTATATTGTACTCATTCATCAAGAATGTAACAAAATCAATGTTGTGAGAAATAATTGCATATCTCATGCATTCTTCATTTGGTTCTTGATATTTCAAACATTCACTCATGATATCGGGATTTCCTCCTAAAAATGATAACTCAAGACATTTTTGAGTTATTTCTGAGTTAAATTTCGTTCTTAATAACTTGAAACAGCCAACTGCTCCATGGTAACAACATAATTCAAGTAATGTACATCCTACTTCAGAATATGGATATAAACTACTTTCAAGTGTTTGATCTTTATCAAATCCTTCTCTTTCAGTGAATGTGATGAATCTCTCTAAGTCATTATACATAATTGCTCTGTAAATAGTATCTTCTGTATAAATATCGAGATTTTTTAATTCATTTGTTTCGAAATTATCCGATTTGTTTAATTTAATTCCATATTCCCTGTAAAATAGGTATCCAACAGCTAATGAAACTTCTATTTCCTCGTTTACATGATAGTTATCATATATGAGTTTGGCGAAAGATAAATTAGCCCTTGTATAGCGATTTTTAAACGGAATTATATCCAAAATATCTTTGATTATATCTTGGGGACGATATTTCTTTGAATCAATCAATTCTGTTTATTTCTTCTTCATTTTCAGTTTTCAGCTGATACAATGCATTATATGAATCGATGTAGTATTTATGTATGCCTCGCAATTCACTGTATTTATTTGGGTGTGTGTCTTGGTCGGACATTAATTTTTTATATGGACACATTTCAATTTTACCATTTAAAACATCTTTAAATTCATTTGGAAAAATAAATGCTACATTATATCTGCGGAAAAACATTGATCACAAAAAGCATAACATGTTATTTTGAAGTTCTATTGAGATGAATAATGTTTGGTGATCTATAGTGTGAATACACAAACTTACAACATTTCTTTATGCTAAAAAATTAAATTTGATATAATAAAATTTCGGGCCTCAGGTGGCTACGCTTGCCCTTCTCGTAAGCATGCCACCTTCTGCAAAATAAATATTTATATTGATTATATGATATGAGTTCATTTAAACTCTCTGAAGTTTATGAAGAATTTTATAGTCATTTGTTTGGAAAACCATATGTGATGAACTCTGATTCTTAATATATTATAATAACTAAATAATAAGTTTTCTGTGAGTTTGAATGATAATTTGAAAAATTGATTTTTTTTGCTATGTGGTTGGCGCAAAGCACCAACCAAATAGCGAAGAATACTAATATATGCTTACTTAAAAAATGATTAAATTTCTGAACGGTAAAAAATATAAAAATAAGAATATCGTAGATTAAGGGTGCACTAAGGCCCTATGACAGGGCCTTCAATTCAGATGTTTAAGGTTAAATTTCAATAGCGCTTCACGCCAGTTGTCAAAAATTTGAATTAAAGTCAGATGGGCGTAAGTGCAGCCTTAAAAATCCGCAAAGTCTTCTTAAAATCTTTAATATAAACAGCGCTTCGTATTTTCCTTTTATTATATTGTAAATTTAGAGGCATATTGCCGATAAAATAACATAATTTTGATGATTATAAGATGCCTTTTGATATCATCATAAATTCTTAAGATATAAAGTATTAATACCTTTTGAAATAGAAAGAAAGTTGTAAGAAAAATCGTTATAGTTTTTGCATCATAAACATATTTACATGAAATACAAACATCAATTAAAAATTAATATTATTGTCGATTATTAATTAAAGATAATTGCGAAGCATACAACTGTCTGGTCAATTCTAAGAAATCACACTCCTCTTGCAATTCAGTGAGTCTTCTTTCTCTAGATTCAACTCTTGATTCCAATGAATTTGTCGTATCAACATCAGATTGAGTGTAACCAGGATTTGTTGATCTATTTAAAGCATCCGACATTTCAATCATTTTGGATCTCATATATTTTCTGCGGAGTTTGAGCAATTCCAATTTCGCAGCATTTAATGTATCTCTGCGTTTGCGAATCTCGATGATATCTTGTCTTCTTTTTTGAATTTCTTCTTGTGCAGCCTTTATTTTTTCGCTTATTTGATTGCATCTTCTATCATAAAGGTCAATCCTTTGCAAAATCTGTTTCGAACCATTATCTGGAAGGTAATTCATCTCATTTAACATGTTTTGTAGCATTGCCTTCTTTAATTCGAGATCCTCAACTTTACCAAATGTTTGATCTCTCTTCATTTGTGCTGCAGTCAATTGAACATAAGCTTTTTCTATTTTTATTTGCTCCAATTCAGTTTTTTCAAATGTTTTATTGCGTTTTTCTTCAGCATCTGATAAAGTTACTTGTAATTCATCAACTTTTTCTATGGCTTCTCTGATTTGTTTATCTTTTTCTTGGTTCAAATAAATTAAATTATCTCTTTCAAGAGTCTTTTCTCTTATTTGTTGATTGAGATTTTCTAATTCATTATCTTCATCTTCGGAGTTATCAGGTTTGCTCTGATCTGGAATAACAGAAAAAGAAATTTTTTGAGTCAATCTTAATTTATCTGAAAAATCTCGTTTTTTACGCTCAAGTGTGTATAACCTAGCACCAATATCTTGAGGTTCAGCGTATTTCTGTATTGAATTATAAAAAGCAATATCACTCGCGCTATCAGTGTCACTAATGAGATCTGCATTTGCCAATACCTCGCTATGTATGTCACCGGTACGAGAATTAAGTTTGTCAGATTTTGTTGCCTTTTTAATTTTTTTCTTCAATTCGTTAAGTTCTTCTTTCTTCTCTTCGATGAACTTTTTAGCTGATTCATTAGCTCCTTTATCTCCACTAATCAGAATTTGAATAATTCCTGTTTCTGTTTCCATATCTTTATTATTTTTTTGGAGAACTCCTACTCTACCTTTTAAGGCAGTTAAAGCATTTGTTGTAGTCTCATCATTAAACGTTTCTGTGAAATTATATGACATCATTTCGTTTTGATTGCTAGTATATTTTCTTATTTCTGCTTTAATTTCAGAAACTTTTGCCTTCTTTTGAAATATTTTTACTTTCATACTCTCTATTTCGTTTTCTATTAGCAAAATATCTTCTTCTAATTTATCGTTTTGATTATTTAACTCTTGTATCAGATTTCTCTCATGTTCTATCTTACTTCGTTTATGGCGTAGGCGGCGAGAACTTCTCATCGTTGAAGATTCTGGAGCTTGCACGGAAAACGATTCATTCATAAAATTTTTTATGCAAATATTTGACATAAAACCAAATGCCCAAAAAATCCACCCTTGTTGATATTCAATCCATATCTATTCCACCAGTGTTTATGGAATATCAAGAAGTATCGGATTTCATATGGAACGATTCAAGATACTGTAATGATAATGAAAAATTTATGGATTTTTTAGTACCCAGAATCAAAACCGGAAAAGTTACATTAAATTTTGTTTTACATCTTCTTGATGTTGTTTCCACAGCAAGAGAATATCAAAAAATCATATCAAAGGTTAGAGATCAAATCAACCAAGATTTTAATGTGAAAATTAATAAAAACAACGATTATTTATTTAAAAGCTATGACTTCTTTGATATGCCGTTTCTTCATGATCAAGAATCCGTTCCCGAAGACAATGTTGAATATTATGCAAAGAAAAATGATCAATATAATGCTGACGAAGAACTTTGCAAAGTTTGCCATCGTGGACATATCAATTGCTTTAAATATTTATTGCTTAATGGAGCTGAGCTCAAAAATGTCCACCTTTTTTATGCAATAATTGGAGGAAACAACGAGATCATTAGAACAATTTCAGATCAAATCACAGACTTTAAAATTTTTATTGAACTAGCAATGAATGTCAATAGAAACGATTTAGCAGATTGGTTCATTGAAAGGACCTCAAAGAAATTTAATATAAAATGCGCGTCACCCCTTTATTGTTGTAATTTCAAAGCTTTCCAATATCTTTATTTAAAGAACAAATCATTGTTTAGTACTAATTTATTGAAATGGTATTCATATGAAGTTAATCCGCTTTCTATTGCTGCTGGACTATTCCAGTCTATTGACATCTTAAACGAATTCTCAACATATAAAGATTTTACTGCTAATCATCCAAATCATGAAATAATTAAACCAATATTACCAGATGCAGTTTTATTAGGTAACATGGAAATTGTTAGATGGCTTGTTGAACATGGAGCAAAAAGCAATAAAAGCTTGAAGGCAGCTTTGAAATCAAAGAATTATGATATACTCAAGTATCTTGTAAGCAAAAGTTTTAATATCAACTACATCAAGCCTGATAAAGGTGAACCATCAGTTTCAGCCATAGCTATTGAAGATCATCCAATAGAAATAATAAAATTCCTTCTTGAAAATGGCGCAGATCCAAATTATAATAAAGACATGATCATTGCAGCGGCTCAAAGAGGCGATATTGAAATATTTAAACTTCTTATCCAGTATGGAGCCAAATATGACATCACATGGTTTCATTTTAAAGCTTATTACGCTCAAATTTTAATTATTCAATTCAATATTATTATTCATGATCAAATTCATTATCAATAATCATAGAATTCAATTTAATTCATAATAAAATTCAATATATTCATATTGCAGTCCATTAACAATTGCATGCCTCTGTACCAGATATAATATCGTGAAATACATATTAGAACATGGTGTAAAGAATATTAATCAAGTATTTATTCACTTATAATTTCATCAAATTTATCTTTATTTAATACAATTCATTATTTTTTTCATACAAATAGAGATGATTATCGATTCATAGGTAGAAATATCCAGGATGCAATTATTCATTATAAATCATGAAATTCATTATTATTTTTATATGACACCATTATTTTACGCAATTCAAGGGCATGATTTGGGTATTATTGAGTTACTTCTAGCCAATGGTGCTTCCCCATCCATAAATATGAAGTGTTCAATACGTGGTAAACCACCCCGCGAAATTACTGCTATTGAATATGCAAAAATACATTTTTATGGAAATTATGAGATATCAATATTATCATCATATTTGAAAGGCCAATAATAGACACATTCACTTATCTAATTGATGATTAAATATGAAATTAATGTGAAAAATCTAACCAATCGATATTATCATCATAATCAATAGACAAATAATAGACACATTCATCCATTCATCTAATTGACGAATAAAAATTTCATATCTTGTGAAAAATCTAACCAATCGATATTTATCGTATATATAATGCGCTTAGATGAACCGATAAGCTTCATTAAACCAAGACATAATGACTGTGAGAGTGAGAAATTTTTTGATGGGATGCTGATCAAAAATTTTTGTTCTCTGTGAGGTGAGATCAAGTGTCAAATTGTTCGTCATTTCAATGGGAAGAAAGATTGTCCTCGTTACTGGCGCTACTAGTGGCATTGGTGAAGCCTGCGCACGCAAGTTTGGCCTTGCTGGATACTCAGTCATCTTAAATGGACGTAATCCAGAGCGCTTAGAAAAAATCAAGAACTTTTTGACTGAAAATAAAGTCGAATGCATTACATTACCATTCGATGTTCGTGACAACAAGGCTGCAACAGCTGCTGTTCAGTCATTACCAAAAGAGTGGCAAGAAATTGATGTACTCATCAACAACGCTGGCCTTGCACTTGGTCTTGAAAAGGAATACGATCTCAAGCCAGAAGATTGGGATGCAATGATTGACACAAATATCAAAGGTTTGCTTACAATGACACATCTCATCGTTCCAGGAATGGTTCAACGCAATCGTGGCCACATCATCAACATTGGCAGTGTTGCTGGTGATGCAGCATACGCTGGCGGCAACGTTTACTGCGCTACAAAGTCTGCTGTCAAGGCTTTGTCTGATGGCTTAAGAATCGACTTAGCTCATACAGCTATTCGTGTCACAAACTTAAAGCCAGGTCTTGTTGAGACAAACTTCAGCGTTATTCGCTTCAAAGGCGATGAAGAACGTGCAAAGAAAGTTTACCAAGGAATTCAGCCACTTACAGGCGATGATATTGCTGACACAGCATTATATGCTGCTCAGGCACCACCACACGTCCAAATTGCTGAAGTTCTTATCCTTGCTACACACCAAGCAAGCGGATCTGTTATCCATCGTGAATAAACTAGTACAAATCGTCAATTATTTATCACTACAAATAGAAAACTACTTACTAAAGCGTTAAAATATCTTTTTGATTAGAATATCCAAATGATTTTTTTAATTTTCTATGGAATTATCTATAAAAATCAAGTAATCACATGATAAATCAAGATTTATAGAACGGATTAGATATAATTAGTTCATTTTGCTTTAAAAATAAGATCTAAATTTGTAATTTTTCATTAAAATCTTGTATTTATGCTACGATTTTAATGTTTAGCATAAGTCTAAATAAATTCTAGATAATGTATTGGCCTACTCTGTTTGAAAATTTATAATGAAATCCACAAAATAGATTTTGTCGCATACTATAAATGTTCAATGTTTAGCATGAAACAGATAAAGATATAAGATCAATGTCACTTGAAACTGATTTCAAATAATGTAAAGATTATTTTTCCTTCGATTTAGCCAGTTTTGGAGAACAAATATGAAAATACACGTACAAACAAATAGAATACATATGTTTAATTTTTTCAAAAAATCCTTCATAATGACTGAGGAATCCCGGAATAAAGAGGAGCGAATTCCAATTCCTCAGGCAAAGTCAAACGATCGCAATGAACTCAAAAAGTTTTGTCAAGCTCTTGAAACTACACCAGATTCTCCAGATTTGTTATCAACAGCTTTGGAATTATTAGACGGATTTTCTCCTGATGATGTTAATAAATGCCAAGCTCCAATAACTAATTCTGCTTTCTCTGGAACCATAACTCTTGTCAACAAGTCAAAACCTTCAATAGTTCATTCTACAGCGCTCGAAGTGATTGAATTGTTAAGAATTCCATGCTCAGACAGCATAATTCTATCTCAGTTATTCGAGAATCTTGGCAGAGATCTTGAATATCTCGACATTAAAACACAGGGATACATAATTAACATTTTGAAAAACACAATTGACTCGACCAGCCAAGATAATCTCGCCAAAACACAAAAAATATTCAACCTAACATGCCAGATCGGTCAAATCCTATTCAAACAGTTCCAAAAACCTCTACACGAGCTTCCAGATTTTATATTCACACATAGCATATCAATCTTGCAAATTATTACGCGATCGCTCTTGTGGAAGGGCACGGAACAGATATCAATTCCTACGTTGATGATTACAGAAATTTCAAAAATCTTAACCATGCAGCTAAACCAACCAAATATTTGTGCTCAGCAATTGTTTATTACTCTGAAGCACAAAGCAATAAACATTATGTCGCTCAGGCCAAAGATGTTTAATATTCCCGAAAATACAGTTGCAAACCTCTTAATTACTTTACTAAATGAGGTTTCACAAAGCTCCTTTACACAGTTTTTCGAAATATTTAATGATATCCCTGCTTTATTCACAAAATATCCGCCGGATGCGTTAACAATACAGAATCTTCGCCGTCTTATCCCATTGATCACTAAAAGGTCTGGGATTTACCTTGAAGAGTCCAATTACTACGCAAAATTCATGAATCAAATTATAAAAATGGATTCGGACGCTACGCTTGAGAACTCTTACATTTCTTACGCTATATCATTACTACATTCAACGGAATTCAAAATACAAGAGCGCCTCAAACTTTTCCAGACATTAACAACAAAATTAAAACCTGTAACGACAACTACCGAACAATTCACACATTTGATACGACAGATACTCTTCGACTTCATTGACGAATTTTACGACACTGTAGATCAGCTAGAAAAAACAGAATTTGAAAATTTCGATTTACAATACAGTTCCGACGTACAAGCCATTGGAGAATCATTCCTATCATACATAGATATCATAAAGATATTCTTTAAACTACCAGATTCTTCAAATCCGATATATGAATATCAATATCAAGGAAGAATCCAAGAAGTCAGTGATTTCACGCAAACAATATCCAAATGTATCGAGTTCATACACAAATACGAGAAATGCTACAAGAAAGTCCTTCAATTTGCGCAAACTCCGATTCATTCTCCAGAAAAAGACCGAAAACTTACACAAGCTCTCTGGACAGCAGCTGTACAAGCAAACAAAGACTGCGAGAAGGTCCAAAGAGCTTACAATTCCATGGTTCAATTATTATTCACCAAAATCTTCGAAGTCGTTCAAAAAGGCATGTTGAGATCGATCTGGGATTTATATTTCAAGACGATTTTCTCAAAAACTCCCATAATTGACTTCGATCAAAATATTGCAAAATTATATCTTCTCAGTCCTGATCTTTTTGCTGTTCTTTTGACTTCCTTCTGCACGTCGATCAATGTTATACGTTCAGGAAAGAACTTGATTGAGATATTAAAGTATATCCAAAATTTCCTTGACACATTAACAAATATCTCCAAACCAACGCAAAGACCAATTATTACAAAGCTCATACCGAAGTTCCTGAGCCTTATCAAGAACTACACGTTCACTTATTCCACTTACAAGTATTCAATAAAAGTAATAGAGAGTTTATTCAAATTTATGACGACATTAGGCATAGAAAACAAGTTTGTAAAAGAGCAGAAGATTGTTACCGGTATACTAAACCCAATCCTTGCGTTTGGATCCATTTCTATCTCTATTTTGGATTTCATTTCGTATTGCGGAAATTCAAACCCTATTTTTTACTCTTTTCCTGTTGTAACCGATGTTGTTATACTTGCTACAAGCACGAACATCGAGAAAAGCGTTGAATTACTGGGCGAAATCCACAAAAACCAGCCAAAACAGCTCCAAAGATCCGAAATTGTCTCTAATTTACTGAATATTTTGGTCAATCAGCTGGAAAACATGCATGGAAGGACCAAAAATATCTCTTTAAAGATAATTAGAGACATTTACCCATTGGCTGAATTAAATGAAGAATTTAAATTCCCAGATTCTTCATCTATCATTGAAATATCGAACCAAACTAAGAAGATTCCAATTGACTACTCAACACTGCTTAAATCTTCTCTAAAATCTCTGTTGGAAGACGCAAACAACAAAGTTGCTCAAAATTTAATTTTGAATTTGGTCAAAACTAACTTCCAAAGCGACCATTTCACCCAGAACTATAGAGAGCAGCTCGCAGGATTGTGCATACACCCGTTTACAACACTCAAAGACAGAATTGACGTATTTGAGAATATATTATTACAAATTTTAGAAGAATTCCCTGATAATCCTATAGTACAAGCACATGTATTGATCAGTTCGTACCAATCAAAGCCATTTGACTCAATACACAAAAGAATTTCTCTCAAAATTAATTCAAAAGAGAAATTTGTCACTTTTTCAAATGAAATTATATATATTATTGATTTAAAGTACTACAACATTTCGATTGTTATCAAGCAAGTACTTAAATTCATCAGGCACATGATAAATGAAGAAAACATTGATGTTTTGAGTTACGCAAACATTATTGCGACAATTGCTCCCGAAATGACGAAAGATGAACCGAATTTGTCAAAGAAACAGACAAATCTACAAGAATTAAATGTATTCAGATCATGGTTCTGTAAGTCCATCATTCATTGCCATAATTTATATCTCAAAAATCCGAAAAATTTGACAGAAATTTTGAATTCTATCAAAAATTCATCGGAATACATCGTGATTTGGATCTACGGAGAAGTCATTTACAACTCAGAGATAACACCGGATATTTTACAGTTTTATAATGAATGTTTAGAAAATATGAAAAATGATATTTCTCAGGTGAAATTTTCGAGAAGATTGGGAATAATTTTGAGATGTTTTCCAAATTTGATTTCACAAAATTTGTCACTTTTCAAAGAATTTTGTGAAAAAATCAACAAATTAAATTTGGTGGAATGTGCATTGAACATATTACCACCATTGATAGACAACAAGATCTATAATATGTCCATAAATTTGGTGGCAATCCTCAAATCAATTGATGCAAGAGCCCCAATTTTTGTCAGAATTCCTGCAATTCAAATTGTCAAAAATTTGTATCAGAATTGTCAACAGTACACAAGTTTAATTGACAATTATATTAACCAGACATGGGATGCATTGATGCAGAAACCTGAAATAATAGTTAAATTGCCTGTAATCAATACTTCAAACCTTCACCAATTATCTGAATTGTTTTCTGAAATAATTCCTGAAAAAATCACTTCACTTTTCGTTCAAATTTTCGGTAATTGTTTGGCCAATGCCAAAACAATCAGGAATGATCAGAATAACATGACAGATGTCATTAGTGCTGTTTCTAATGTTCTTAAAACGTTTACGAGTTCATTTTTTGTTTTTAATTATCTTAAAAACAAAAACCAATTGATACAAGCGATTTATTCCATTGTTAACTTGTTTGAAGGAATAAGTTTGATGACGAACATGACAAACAATAGATGTGTTGCTACTTTTATCAATAGAGATCCTGTTTATTTCTTCAAAATGTTTTTACAAGAAAAAGAAGTTCACTTCACTTCACTTTTGAATTTAATTATTTCAGAAAAGAGAATGAGGAAGTTTAGAGAACTTGTTGTTGAAAATGCTGACCATGTTTTGGCTGGATCAAATAATCCAGAAATTATTTCAATTGTTTGTCAAAGTTTGGCAGAAAAAAGTGACAAAAATGTTGACAAAACTTTATTGCAAAGAATCCAAAGTGAAATAGAGAAATTCTCAACCAATTTCCAAACATTTAATGATTTAACTTTTAAGTGTATTTTGAAACATTTCAGTTTATCCAATTTATCTTTGTTTTTAGAAATTTCTCAACAAGTTTTTCAACTCAAAAACAGTTATTTAGTTAATTTAGTCACCAGAGAATTTATTTATATTTTGAACAGACAAAACTTCGATTTCGAATCATTTTATAACTTCGAAGTCAATGATGAAATAATCAGACATTTCATTTTGTTGTTTTCTTTCAATTTCGTCAAAAAATATCCACAAAAACTCACTGAATATTTGGATAAAATTACAGATAATATGGGTATTTACGGACAAGCAAGATTCATGGTACTTCTTTTCGATAAAAAAGTTCAAATTCCTGATTTACAAAATCGAATTTTGTCACTTTTTGAATCAAGTAAAAGTGACAATGAAAAAATATCTGTTTTAAGTTTATGGAGTCGTTCGCCGCCATTAGAGAAATTCTGTGAAATCTTTAAAGTTTATATGACTTATTTGATGTCATTGACAACAACGGAATTAAATGAAATATTCAAGAACTTGAAGATTCCTTTAGAAGCTGATTATAAATCTATAATAAATAGTTTGCAAAATACTGCAGATCAAACAAGAGGAAATTACAAATTGACATGGTTTTATTTGCAGATTATTTCGAATAACATGGAATTCTTTGGTTCTCACATGGATGATTTATATAAATATTTGTTAGAAACAGCTTTGGTTTTCACATCAATTAAATCATACCAAAGATTGAATCATTACATAAGATATTGTCCGTATTTGTCATCTATTTTGATTGAAAACTCAAATTTGCCTGTAGAAAAAAGAGGAATTTTGACAAGATATACATTACATATTCTTAAATTTGCTTTTGATTTAGTGTCATCGAACCAAGACTACTTTAGATTGCTTGGTCCTGAAGTTTTCCCATCAATTGAGAAACTGTGCAAATCATTTGATTTACCACAATATTTCCCTGACACAATTTTTGACAATTTAAAGAATATGTATTCTAAAATACAAACATATAATCCTAACCAAATGCAGACATTAAATCAGATGCAGCAGCAACAGAGAACTCAGGAATTAATGATATTCGATACTTATTTGGCAACTTTGAAAAATGTTTTGTCTTCTTACGCGACAAATCCAAATTTCAAGTTGAATGAGAACGTCGTTCCTTTCTTAGTCGAACTTTCTAATCATAGTTCTGCAAGGATTTGGATGAACGCTTGTTACGCTTTACAAAATATCTCAATTTTACCTATCGTCACGGAAAAATTAGTGGAAATTTGGCCAACATTAAAAGATCGCCAAAATGAGAGAATATTTAATATTATCTGGCCTACGAAGCAAAGTAGATCTATAAGGTATTCATCGCTAATGAAACAGTTCATGGAAATTCTTGAAAATACTGAATGGTTTACATTTCCGTCACTTTTTGCAAATGTTTCAACAATGATGTTTTCAATGTTGACGAAAACTACTGAGCAAACAATTACTAATCTAGTGAATTTAGTTGATAAGACAATTAAGGATCTTTCATCGCAAAAGAATAGATGTATTTGCTTCTTGATTGTTTCTTATTTATTAACTTTGCCGACCAAATATTCATCATATGTTTATCATTTGTTTAATGATGAAAAATTCATTTCTGAATATTTCAACAGTTTGCCAAAGTGTTTAATCGACCAAATAATGAATGATAAGCTCAAACAAAACTTGATTAATCATTTAGATAATTTGCAATCATCTGATCTCCAGAAAACATTAATTTCTTACCAAATTGAAAATCAATCTTCTCCTTTGATTTTATCTGCAAAAATTTTACAAAATATTTTGACAACAAAAAGTGACAATTATACGTTACTTGACAGTTATCGTGTTTGCAGATTCTTCTCTAAATCAGATTTAGGATTAATACTCAAACATTCCCTAAATGATTACGATAAAACAGAACTGATATGTGATATGAAACGAGGAATTTCCATTTGCCAAGGAATTTTAGGAGATTGGACTGAATATGATTTTACTAAGACTTCTGATTATTTAGATCAAAATAAATTGATCATAGAAGAACCACTGATTAATTTAAGACACTTTTATTATGATAGAAGTCTTTCTTCTATTCCTAATTATCCAAAAATAGCAAGTGAAGTGTGCAGCGGTTTGTTGAAGTCACAAGATTTACATGTATTCAAAATTTGTATGGAATATTTGTATGGTGATGGATTATCACTACAAAGTGTTGAGAAATCAACAAAAGGATTGTCAAAGAAAGTTTCTGAGTTCGTGACAAATGAATCTTTACCAGAATATTTAGTTTTCAGAGAATTACGGCGGTTATGTAAATCGTCGAATAAATTATCGAACTTTGATTTCTGGTACAAATTCCCAACAGGCTCCAATTTGATCTTGCAGCAGAAATACAAGGAAATGAGAGAGAATTTGATTCAAATGGCAAATAATAATGCTCAGGTCACAAATTTATATAAAAGTGACATAATTTTGAGAAGAAGATTAAATAAAACGTTATTAAGTCATTTGTCAAGTGAAATGAAACAAGTTAGATATTCAGAACTCTCTGCATCATCAATGATTTATTACATTTTATCGTCAAATGACAAAAATGACGAAATCATCAAAAATTGTCAAAAATTAATTGAAAAATGTCTTGTAAATAACGCGAAAAGTGATGCAGCATTTCTAGCTTTCTATTCATTGATAGAGAAACTAACAGATGTTGAAATCAAGGATGTTCTGACAACTGCTCAAATTCCATTTATTTGGTCTCAAATTCTCTTTGAAAAAGTGTCAAAATTGACTTCACCTGAACAATATTTACAGTATTTCCATAACGGATTTAGATTCCTCTTCCCTGTTAATGGAATCAATATCCAAGAAGAAAATTCTATGAACACAAAAATTATGTTGGAAAATGTGATAAAAGTTTTGATAGAAAAAGTGACATTTTCTGAATCCGACCAATTAATTTTAAGATATAATTTACAAAATACATTTTGTCCAATGTATGAATTTTCTGACGGAACGGTTAACCGATTATTTCTATCGTTCGAAAACCAGAAAATCAAATTAACTCTTCTTTTGAACAACGGAAAGAAAATCAATTTCATTGTTTCAAAAGAAAAAATTTCTGATGCCAAAAACGTCACTTTTTCGAGATTGATTTCTAAAGTTTTCTGCCAAAGTCCAGGATCATTTTCGAGAAAACAAAATATCGCTGCTTTTGACACTTATCAGATTTCTGACGGTTTTTATTTGACAAAAACGAACTGTGACACTTTTCATGATTTGTCACTTTTGCCAAATGAAAAATGCGGATTTAATGGGAAGAAGGAATATTTCGAATGGTTCACATTATTTGGATATAGATTTTCTGCATTGATTTCTCTTCATTTTGCAAGAGACAGCAAATTTAATTCGGAGAAATCAATGATTGACATGAAACATTGTTCGATTGTTTCTCCTTCTTTTTGCGAAAAACATAAATTTGTTTTCGAACTGAAAGGAATCTACAGAACAATTATGACAAGTCAGGGATTGAACGGTCCATTCAGAGCTGGATTTATTTCAGCAATTGACGCAGTTATGTATAAGATGGCGAAGTTTATGGCCACAGGAATTTCATTTTTCGGAGATGACGACGACAAGTCACAAGAAATCGAAGAAAGAGTCAAATCTGTTTCTCTAAGAAACGCAACAAATACAGAAGAAGTTACACAGATACAAGAGCGAGTTAACAAACTAATACAATCTGTGAAAATTATATAAAATGTTTTAATTTTTATTATATTTTTTTCATTTCATTTTTTTTTCTTCACTCGATTTTGTTTTAACGATCTGGTATTAAATAAGCAAATAATTTGATAATTATATGATGATCTTTGAGCGCATTTTCAATTCATTAAGTTATCATAATAATATCTTTTTTTTTCTCATATTATGAGTGCACTTACCACTTTCTGACATTCTCTCAATTAATTTTTTTGACATCCAAACTTTTTATCCCAATTTTCTAAGGTAAGAAGATATTATTTTTGGTCGGGAAAAAGTTATTATAAATCATTACGTAGCACCTAGTATGATTGCTATACTTTATTTGATAAAATAATAAAGATAAATTGATTTTGTTAGTGCATGTCATAAAGTGGTAAGTGAACCCTTAAGGTTAAATGAATTAAAAAATGTATATTATTAGTATGATACTTATTTTATTGGAGAATTAGTGAAAAGAGCAAATAAAAGATGATATGAGAAATGTAGATAACAAACAGAGAAACAAGAAGGAAGAGATAGTTTGTCTAATATAGTAATGACAAGTTTACCGTTGCCTTCCCAAACACCTGGGATGTTAACAATGTCATAGAAAAGATATCCATCCGTTTTTCTGAAGAAGTATGGACGTTCATCTGTTATGTTGAAGAAAGGTCCTTTCGCTGCAATATTTCCATCTGGGATATCTGCATCTTCTGACAAAACCCACGAACTTCCTCCTCCTGAACCTCCATTTCCATTATGACTTGCAAATCCTCCAAACCATCCACTTCCTGCACCTGGTCTGTCAGTGCCACCTTCATATTCCTTGACTCCAAAATCGCTTTTTGATCCAAATTCTTGTGCAGATTCGCCTGAACCAAATGTAAATCCTGAAGTGGTATTTGCTAAATATCGTGATATATACTTGCCATTAATCCAAAAACCTTGTGCTGTTTGCCCGCCTCCAGATCCACCAGATCCATCATCATCTCTCATATAGTCGTTATTATTAGGATTAAAGTTATCAGAACCACCTCCACCACCGCTCACAATCACGCGATGCCAGAGATCATTTTCGAAAAATTTGACAGCGGTTTGACCACCTCCACTCCCATCTCCACAAGCAATATCCGTTGAATAAAAATTAAATGAGAAACTACCACCACCATACCCGCCATGAACCATTTCATTAATATTAAAATTGGAAGTTTTACTTGTAATATTAAATAATCCATGGCCACCTATCGTTGCATAAGCAGTGATTTTCTTATTTATCTTTATTGTACCAGAGATATAACCCCCAGCACCACCTCGATTTCCGATTTTTCGGCAAACAGTATTTCCTTTAACTGACTTGACAACTTCATCTGGAAGACAATTTCCATCTTTGTCAATGAAAGATGACACGTGTGCTTCTTTAGCGCCACCTGATGGACCATAGAGTTCAAATTTATATAATCCTCTAGATAACTCAATTACATAATCAGTACAATCATCAGAGGAATTACAAGATTAGTTAAATTCATATGCACTATTTGATGTATCCTTTGTGACTTTTGGGGTCCATTTTCTTTGATCTTCTAAAGAATATGTTAATATTAAAGACCATTCTTTACAATAGTCGTCAAGTGAAGTGATAGTATTAAAAAACAGTTAATAGTTTTTAGTATTATTTAATTTTATTAATATAATCCTTATGAGATGTTATTTCATTGCATAGGGATCCTCATTTTTAATTAATACTCAGGCGAACCAATATTGATTTGACAATTTTTTGATCCAAGAAATGATTTCATAATATATATTATTTTTAATCTTAAACTATATTCTTAATAACTAATACATAAGCATGCTTGATTCTTGGAGAGACAGCAAATTTAAATAATTATTGTTCATTTAAATTTATTTCATGTTTATTTTAGAAGGACCATCGAGCTCAAATTTATATAATCCTCGAGCAAGTTCAATAATATAATCAGTTCATTCATAAGATGAATTGCATGGAATGTTAAACACATATTTTCTTTTAGGTTTATCTTCAGAGACATTTGTATCCCATCTGACATCATCAACTAAAGAATATGCTAATATCTGATATTAAATCTACATTTTAAACACTTACAATTATACCATAAAATATCCAATAAATGATACTTTTAGAATATTTATTAAGATTTTAGTTTGAAGGAGAATCAATGAAAAGAACAAATAAAAGATGATATGAGAAATGTAGATAACAAACAGAGAAACAAGAAGGAAGAGATAGTTTGTCTAATATAGTAATGACAAGTTTACCGTTGCCTTCCCAAACACCTGGGATGTTAACAATGTCATAGAAAAGATATCCATCCGTTTTTCTGAAGAAGTATGGACGTTCATCTGTTATGTTGAAGAAAGGTCCTTTCGCTGCAATATTTCCATCTGGGATATCTGCATCTTCTGACAAAACCCACGAACTTCCTCCTCCCGAACCTCCATTTCCATTATGACTTGCAAAACCACCAAACCACCCACTTCCTGCACCTGACCTGTCAGTTCCACCAAAACCTTCCCGAACCCCAATATCACTTATTGATCCAAATTCTTGTGCAGATTCCCCTGAGCCAAAAGTGAAACCCGAAGTGGAGTTCGCTAAATAACTCGAATTATAAATTCCATTAATCCAAAAACCTTGAGCAATGAGTCCGCCACCAGAACCACCAGATCCATCATCGGTGGTACCATATTCATTGATATAAGGATGCACGTTGTCTGACCCTCCTCCACCGCCGCTCACAATCACGCGATGCCAGAGGTCATTTTCTAAAAATTTGACAGTGGTTTGACCACCGCCGCTTGCAGAACTCAAGTAATTAACGCTATAGTAGTTAAATGAATAACCACCTCCGCCATAACCGCCAGGAATCATTTCATCAACGTTAAAATTATCGTATATACTTGTAGAATGAAATAATCCATGACCTCCTATCGTCGCAAAAGCGGTTATCTGCTTTGGAAGTCGGATTGTACCAGAGATGTAACCTCCTGCACCGCCACGACTCCCGAGCTTTCTACAAGCGGTATTTCCGTTAACCATTTTAACAATGTTATCTGGAAGACAATTTCCGTCTTCATCAATATATGATGAAACAAATCCATTCTTAGCACCACCTGATGGACCATAGAGCTCAAATTTATATAAACCTCGAGGAAGTTCGATAATATAATCAGTACAATTATCATGTTCGCTACAAGGATAGTTAAACACATATTTATTTTTAGATTTGTCTTCAGTTACATTTGTCTTCCATCTTACTTTAGCAACTAAAGAATATTTTAAAATTGGATATCAATTATCCTTCAAAGGGATGTCGAAAAGTGAGGTGATGTGATTTCGAGTATTGCTAAAAATTTAAAATTAATTTTTCGTAAAGATATTGTAATAAACAGAAATTCATCAAAAGTGACAGCTCTCGATTTTTTGACATTTGTAAATTCTAAATTGAATGAGAAAAATGAAATAATACTAAGCATAATACAATATTCTAGATTTAATTATAATTAGGAAAAAGTTAGTTTTTAGAGTACTTTTCATAGGCATATAGAATGAAATCTTCTGAAAAATAATATCACATAAACTCATATTATTTTCTAATATATAAACTATTTTATATAAAAAATCAAATTCAATGATCTTAAAAGCGAAGGATAAACCTCAAAATTTACGAAATATAATGAGTGGGAATATAATGCTTATCTATCATAAAACCATATGAAATATCAATTTTTGCTTTACGCCTAATTTTGACGACAATTAGCAAAAATGTTAAATGTTAACACTCAGTCCATTTGAATATGAAAAATAAAATTGACTTTGATTAAATGTTTTTATTTATCATGCAATTCTTCTTGCGACCAAAGATTTGAATAAAAGTTCAAAAAATAAGATAGCTTAAAAATAATATACGGTAGTGTTTACTAATAGATGAATAGTATATAAAATTCTATTAAAATGGATTTGATCCAAAAAAATATAAAACCAAAAATAATTGTTATAATTTAAATGAAGAAGTAATTTAAAACGATTTTATTTATGATCAAATTTTATATATTTTTTTTGGATCAAATCCATTTAATAGAATTATATACTATTCATCTATTAGTAAACACTACCGTATATTATTTTTTAAGCTATCTTATTTTTTGAACTTTTATTCAAATCTTTGGTCGCAAGAAGAATTGCATGATAAATAAAAACATTTAATCAAAATCAATTTTATTTTTCATATTCAAATGGACTGAGTGTTAACATTTAACATTTTTTGCTAATTGTCGTCAAAAATTAGGCGTAAAGCAAAAATTGATATTCATATGGTTTTATGATAGATAAGCATTATATTCCCACTCATTATATTCGTAAATTTTGAGGTTTATCCTTCGCTTTTAAGATCATTGAATTTGATTTTTATATAAAATAGTTATATATTAGAAAATAATATGAGTTTATGTGATATTATTTTTCAGAAGATTTTGTGTTCTTCTTCAAAATTTTATTTTTTTTATTAAAAAGAATCTTTACAAAATATACATTTACTTTAATTAATATTTAAAAACGTGCTCTATCAAAAGTTCCAAAAATTCAATATTTTAGCTTTTCTGAGGTGTCACTTTTGATGAATTTCTGTTTACAACATTGTATGAAATTCAAACTCTATATTTATTAAAATTCTAAATTTTTAATAAAATAACTTTTCAGAGGAATATGATTTTGAATGGTTGATTAATAAGTATAAAAATGTCTTCGATTTTAAGGAGGGAATTGTTCCTTATGAGGTATACATCATAACTATATACCTCATAAGGAACAATTCCCTCTTGATAGCTGGGAAACTTTCTCTGAATAACTTATCATTTGGAGAAAGTTTCCCAGCTATCTATTAGAAACTAAAGGCTGTGAGGCACTAATATATAATCAGTGCCTCATAGCCTTTAGTTTCTTATTAAAAACGAGAAAACTTGTTCGAAATGATAAACAATTTCGAACAAGTTTCTCGTTTTAAGGAGGGAATTGTTCCTTATGAGGTATACATCATAACTATATACCTCATAAGGAACAATTCCCTCTTGATATCCTGGATATTTTTGAATATATTTTTTTAATTAAAGTTCTCAAAAGTATTATCAAAAGTGATTTTTTAAAAATATCTCCAATTAATTAACTAATTAAAAGTATTATATTTTTAAAATTAAATAGTTTTTCAATTTTTTTGAAGGAATTGAGATACTTCCCACGACAATAAAATTGAGAGGTTTACATTATGACTGATCTTAGCATGCAACAATTAAAGTTTTTTGTCATATTAAATATATAGAGAATTCCATTCTTTGGAATTGAGATTTTTTTTTTCAAATCAACAAAAAGGTTCCTACAAATACACTTTATATGTTTATTCTGGTAGTGAAATTCGAATGTAGGCAATTAAGAGGTTACTATGACACTTTTTATCTTTTTTTTGGCATTTTTGAAGAATATTAGAATCGAAGAAACGAAATTTAATTTGATGGGAAAAAGATGATACTTATTTTATTGGAGAATTAGTGAAAAGAGCAAATAAAAGATGATATGAGAAATGAAGATAACAAACAGAGAAACAAGAAGGAAGAGATAGTTTGTCTAATATAGTAATGACAAGTTTACCGTTGCCTTCCCAAACACCTGGGATGTTAACAATGTCATAGAAAAGATATCCATCCGTTTTTCTGAAGAAGTATGGACGTTCATCTGTTATGTTGAAGAAAGGTCCTTTCGCTGCAATATTTCCATCTGGGATATCTGCATCTTCTGACAAAACCCACGAACTTCCTCCTCCCGAACCTCCATTATCATGATGACTTGCAAAACCACCAAACCACCCACTTCCTGCACCTGATCGATCTGCTCCACCTTCACTTGTTTGAACACCATTTTTATTTTGAGATTTTTCTTCCTGGGCCGATTCACCTGATCCGAAAGTGAATCCCGATGTTGAATTAGCTAAATAATCCGAGGAATAATTTCCATTAATCCAAAAACCTTGGGCAATTAATCCTCCACCAGAACCAGCAGCCCCATCATCAGTTATCATGAAGTGATCAGCTGCCTGCACATTATCAGACCCTCCTCCACCGCCGCTCACAATCACGCGATGCCATAGATCATTTTCTATAAATTTGACAGCGGTTTGACCCCCTCCGGTACCTGCTCCAAAAACACGTTGACTATAATAGTAATTAAAGGCAAAACCACCACCATATCCACCATGAATCATATCATCGACATTAAAACTCGATGTTGTAATATTATAAGTTAATGGTCCATGACCTCCTATCGTTGCATAGGCGGTTATTTTTTTGGATAATCTTATGATACCGGAGATATACCCTCCAGCGCCACCTCGACTACCAACTTTTCTGCAGACAGCATTCCCTTTAACAGTTTTGACAACTTCATCTGGAAGACAACTTCCAAACTTATCAATATATGACGACACACGCCCATCTTTTGCACCACCAGAAGGACCATAGAGCTCAAATTTATATAATCCTTGAGGAAGTTCGATAATATAATCAGTACACTCAACAGGAGAACTACAAGGATAGTTAAAGGAATAAGTCTTTTTAGAATTGCTTACGGTAACATTTGGGCTCCATTTTTCATTGTCAACTAAAGAATAAGTTAATATTTTATGCTAATTTATTCATTTATTAAAAAAAAGCATATTATACATGATTTACAGAATCTATAGAATCATATTCATTCATAGGAAAGCATCTAAATTATTGAAAAATCAGTGAAGAAAGATTTAAGGGTGAACTTACCACTTTCTGACATTCTCTCAAATTTCTTGTTTAAGGTTTTATTTTCTATGCCTCTTCGCACCCGTATATCTCTTTTTGAGAGAGAGTGTCAGAAGGTGGTAAGTGCACCCTTAAGGCTAGTGTTCATTTTTCTCAATTTTACAATTCTAGTATCTCAACCATTATGACTATGGGAGGTAACCATAAGATATTATAAACCACAAAATCATAGAGGCGTGCTGAACCGTTGGGTGGAAATTGAATACCCACACTTCAGCATGGACCCTTCTGATGGAGATAGACCCAACATGTATATGGATGAATATTAGGACATTAGGTATAGATGAACATATATAGGAATGAGGACCACCTTGGGTCAGCATCAGATATCGAATTTTAGAACCATCTAATTTTCATTCAATATTCTATAGGTGCAATGTATGTTTCCTATATATAAAGGTTTGATAATAGTTATGTCTCAATATAGATCTTTGGTCCCAATTTATATTATGAATATCATCAATTTGTGTGTTTTTAACATTATATATTAGTATTGTGTTGATATAATGCTATATTATGTAGTGGTAGGTGTGTCTTGATATAAATTATGTTATTGATCGGGATATGAGTACAAATGCAAGTTATCCCGGGGTGAGGTCAGGGCTATCGCGTCCTAATTCATAGGGAAGGGTTATCATGCCTAGTATGTGTGTGCTGTGCTATCCGTTTGTCCATTGGATGGCACAGCACACACAATCACAAGACAAAACCTCGAAGCGAGGAACAGTTCTTGTAAGGATGTGGTAACTATATACCTATCCTTACAAGAACTTGTATAGTGGAGCAATGTTTCGAATTGCTCCACTTTTCCTCCCATCGAGGTTATCCCGAGGTGAAGTCATAGCAATGGGGCTCATATTGATGGTGCACCATTGCTATGACTTGCACCTTCGTATGGTACTATCCATTATGAATTTTGAAATAATTTTGCAATTGAAATGATCTTAAATTTAACAAAAAAGGCCGAGAAGGGGGTCCTTTCTCAAGGTCAGGGCCCTTCTAGTCTTTCTGGTGTCGGAAGGAGTGGCTTTTGCCAGTATTGCCGCTCCTTCCGGCATCATCTTTGCATTTCGCAATTGTCGCGGCAAGTGCATTCTGGCACCACAGGTGCACTTGCCGCGACATATGATTGCGAGTGTCTGCTGCTCAGCCCCGGATTCGCAGCAGACACTCGCAATGCGAACCAAAGTTCGCCAGAAAGACCGGGAAGGGGGTCCTTTCTCAAGGTCAGGGCCCCTTCTAGTCTTTCTAGAACTGTAATTTGACTTATTTTGCCGAATCTCAGGGGAAACCGTCCGTGATTTGAACGATCTCCTGAGATTCGGCAAATTTGATTGTAAGCGAGGCTCTGGCCTTTGCTTGGGCTAGAGCCTGTATTTGTATGTCTTTCAGGGCCGAGTTCCTGCGAGACGTCGACATGATCGACGATCATCGCAGAACTCGGCCCTGAGGATGAATTTTGCAGGCTCTGGCCTTTGCTTGGGCCAGAGCTTCGTATTTTCTACTTTCCAGGGCCGGATTCCACTCCTGCCGCCCGGGATAAGGGCGGCATTTGGGAAAGCCGGCCCTGGGGAATGTAAGCCATGCCCTGGCCTTTGCTATGGCCAGAGCCTGTATTTGCATGTCTTTCAGGGCCGAGAAGAGAGGAGATCGCCAATGATGTGGACGATCTCCCTCAAACTCGGCCCTGCGGATTGTATTTACAAGCTCTGGCCTCGGAAAAGGCCAGAGCTTCGTATGGACGTTCTCTCGGGACTGGATTCCTCTCCGGCCGCCCCGAATCAGGGCGGTCTTTGAGGAAGCCGGCCCCGAGGATTGTTTGCGAAGCTCTGGCTTTTCCTGAGGCCAGAGCTTGTGATTTTCGTTCAAAGCCAAGTTCCTCTCGGATCAGGCCTAATGAGGACGACCGTCGAGGAACTTGGCTCTGAGGGGATGAATTGTTGGCTCTGGCCTCGATGAAGGCCAGAGTTTTGAATGGAATGTTTTGATGGGATGAGCCTATGAGCAGTAAGCTCGTCCCATCAAAACATTCGTTTAAAAATTGAATTAAAAATTATCGTATGCATTCAAAAATTAAAACAATTAATATGTATAATATTATTATGTAATAATAATAGAATAAAATATATATAAAATTATGTAAAATTTTCAAAAAATATTGGAAAATGGAATTTTGAAAGAAAAAATAAGAGTTTGTATATGAAAAATTGATATTAGAAAAAATCTAGATTAGTAGAGTTAGATTATTTAGAATTTAAATGAGAAATGAATTATGAAAAAGGAAGATTAGAAAGAATTGTATATTTATAATTTAATAAAATGAAGGAATCGAACTAAGGAGTTTACAATTACAATACAATAGGACAGTATATTGTAATTGTAAACTCCTTTCGAGAAACGATTTTCGAATGTGACATTCGTGCCACAAAGTGAAAGCTTTTCTCGAAAGGAGTTTACAATTACAATACAATAGGACAATATATTGTAATTGTAAACTCCTTTCGAGAAACGATTTTCGAATGTGACATTCATGTCAAACAATTAAGCAAATTTCTTATCTGAGTACATGTATGCAGGGTGCTATGGAAAGACCCTGCATATATGCACTCAGATCGGAAACTTTGTTCACGATGTCACATTGCGGAACAAAAGTGAGAGCAAACCGAACATTTTAACCACATTATAAGTTTATGTAAGGATAAAAATATAAATTCCCTGTCCTTGCACAAACTGTTGCTCGCTACGAAGTTTTGCTTTGTGATTGCGCGTGCAGAATCATTTTAAGCACATTTCAATAGCATAAAACACATATAATATATGAATAAAACAATTTTATAACCTCATAATATAAAAATAAATGTTTTGAGTTCGCCATAAATTATGCATTCCAATTATTTTGGATCTATATACTTATTCCTAATAATATATATTATAACTCATATAGTAACCCTCATATCCACTGTGATAATATAAAAAAACGATTTCTGTGTTAAGATATAATTTATCTCACATATCAAACTATGGATTTAACCTATAATAACACAAGAAACATATAATATATACATATGTCTATATGCGCACATGACAATTAGGTCTATATTAGATAATTTTTTGTTCACAATAATCTTATATATCTGACCAAAAACTCATATTTGCCTGAGAGTTACTGAGGATAATCTCATATGTATCCTCTATCTTCCTGCTTAACCATAGGCTCTAAGTCTTTCATTTTTATATGTATGCTGAACCTCGGGTATTCAATTTTTCCCAACGGTTCAGCACGATACCAAAATCATATGCTATTATAAAATCGTAATAAAAACCTAATAGGCAAACACTTTTACGATGTGCATAATAATATTTTTAGTTTGAAGTAGAATTAATGAAAAGAACAAATAAAAGATGATATGAGAAATGAAGATAACAAACAGAGAAACAAGAAGGAAGAGATAGTTTGTCTAATATAGTAATGACAAGTTTACCGTTGCCTTCCCAAACACCTGGGATGTTAACAATGTCATAGAAAAGATATCCATCCGTTTTTCTGAAGAAGTATGGACGTTCATCTGTTATGTTGAAGAAAGGTCCTTTCGCTGCAATATTTCCAACTGGGATATCTGCATCTTTAGACAAAACCCACGAACTTCCTCCTCCCGAACCTCCATTTCCATTATGACTTGCAAATCCTCCAAACCATCCACTTCCTGCACCTGGTTTATCGAAACTAGATGAAATAATTTTAACGCCGTAATCATTTTTGGATATGAATTCTTGAGCAGATTCGCCTGACCCAAAAGTAAATCCAAATGTTGAATTTGCTAAATAGCTATTATTATATCTACCATCAATCCAAAAACCTTGTCCAGATAATCCCCCACCTGAGCCAGCCGATCCATCATCTTTCTTCATGAAATGGTCCTCTGGTTGGACATTATCAGATCCTCCACCACCACCGCTCACAATTACACGATGCCAAAGATCGTTTTCTAAAAATTTGACAGCGGTTTGACCACCTCCACTTCCTGCACCATTATCTATAGCATGATAATTAAACGCATATCCACCACCACCATAACCACCATGAGTCATATTATCGACGTTAAAGCTGGATATAGTTGCTGTTGAATAGAAAAGACCATGTCCTCCTATCGTTGCATAAGCAATGATTTTCTGATTTAGTTTTATGGTGCCAGAGATATAACCTCCGGCACCGCCTCGACTGCCAACCTTTTTGCAGACAGTGTTTCCTCTAACTTGTTTGACAACTTCATCTGGAAGACAATTTCCATCTTTGTCAATGAAAGATGAAATATATCCATTCTTGGCGCCTCCTGATGGACCATAGAGTTCAAATTTATATAATCCTCTTTATAACTCAATTACATAATCAGTGCACTCATCAGGTGATTCACAAGGGTAGTTAAATGTATATGTCTTTTTAGAATTACTCTTAGTAACATTTGGACTCCATTTTTCATTGTCAACTAAAGAATAAGTTAAGATTTGAAATTAATTATTCATATTATCTATTTAATATTATGATCTATATTGATTCATTTAAATGCTAACAAGGTGAAACTGATTTTGAGCAATATTCCAAAAACATATGCATTTGTATTGTTGAAAAAAATAATATTTAAGGGTGCACCCGTATGTACGTTTATTTGAGAGGAGGAGGATTACCCTCTCAATTTTGAGGGATTCGTTAGTTTATTTTCTCGATGAATATGCAATAAAATTTGATTTTTACTAGGGTTGTACAAACTGGCACGCCTGCTGGCACACTTTTTTTTGGCCAGCTGGCACGATTTTTTTAAAAAACACATTAAAAAAGTCACTTTTTGCCCCATCTAATGAGATTTTTTTTACAATTTTTTTCCCCTTATTTTTCAATTTAGATATGATTTTAAGCTCTCCAAATTGAAGTTTACCTGATGTTTCTTAGTTTTTATGATAATAAAATGTTGCAAAGTTGAGTTTGGATTCAATAAATTTAAGAAAATTTTATTTTACAATGAAATTATAAGAAAGGATGTTTTTATCCTATGTCAAAGAGAATACATTTGTAGATCCCGACTTTTGACATGGTTGAAAATTCCAAAAAAAAATTCAAAATTTAAAAAAAAATTAAAAAATATAAATTTCATGTTAAAAAATGATTTTTGAAATTTTTTTGGAAAAATAGAATGTCATATTTTTATGTTTTATTGCTATTTTTTACGAAATCAATAAAATATTTGTTAATTTGGCTGAGATTATAAATAAAATCTTTCTAAATCTTGCAATTGATTGCTAAAATCTGTTTTATGTATTAATTGGCATTGAGATTCGTTATAAAAGAATGCGAATTATTTTGTATGAGTAAACGTATTTTGTAAAATTTCAAATTCTCTTCTCTCATTACTTACCTTAGATCTCTCGGCTTTTAGCTCTCAGATTTCGCTCATAGAACTCAGGTTTTAGTTATGTACTCATAGATGTATCATTACTGCCCGCAGATCTCTCATTACTACCTTACTAACCAGATCTTAACTCTCCGACCTTACTAACCAGATCTTAACTCTCATTACTACCTTACTCATCAGATCTTAACTCTCATTACTACCTTACTAACCAGATCTTAACTCTCATTACTACCTTACTAACCAGATCTTAACTCTCATTACTACCTTACTCATCAGATCTTAACTCTCATTACTACCTTACTAACCAGATCTTAACTCTCATTACTACCTTACTAACCAGATCTTAACTCTCATTACTACCTTACTCATCAGATATCTAATTATTTACATATGATTTCTCACATCTCACTCAAGTCTCATTACTTACCCTATCTTTTTAACCTTTTCTGATAATTACTGAAATAACTAAATCCTTTTTTTAGTTTAATTCTGATATTAAATTTTTAAAATCTCTTTAATTTTTTGAACTACGCCTTTAATTTGTAATTGCCGATTTCACAGATTTGAACCATTTAATAAAATAACATTATTCAACTTAATCATATCAAACATGGTAGTTTGATTTTCAGATCTACATTTTAAAAACCTCTTTATTATCTTGAGTTATACTTTTATTATATAATACCTGAGTTCATAACTGAAAACTCTTAATTAGAGTACAATATTCAACTTAATCATAACAAGATTTGTTGAATTTCAAATTTGATTTATATCTTCCATCACTTAAAACTCTCACAGCTTATAATATAAGCTAAAAAGTATATTTTCATAGTAATAAAATTAATTATTAAATTTTTTACTTTTTCCTTTCCAAAACTAGAAAAAAAGGAAGGGAAAAGGGAAAAAGAAGAAAGAAAAGAGAAAAAGAAAAAAAAAGAAGAGAAAAGAAGAAAAAAATAATAATGAGCATATTATATAATTGTGGTCATAGGCCGAGTGGCGTGGAAAGGGTGGAGCCCGAAGGGCGACATCCTTTCCACGCCACGAGGCCCGATTTTTGGCCACTTTTTTGATTTTGGCCGCGTGCCAGGAGCTGGCAGGCGGCCCGCAAAATTGTGCCAGTTTGTACAACCCTAATTTTTACCTTATCAATATACTTCATATAATATACACATGTTCATGTAAAAACTTTTTTCCAAAATCCTCAGGAATTAAGGGATTTTTGAATTTAAAAATTTTTTCGAATTTTTTCGAAAAAAAAATATTTTCAGAACAGCCTTAACGGCTAAGATTTAGGAACAATGTTAAGTATCAAAAAGAAAGGAGGTCTGATATAGACAACATATATCGTTGAAGGTTGAAAAAATCTCTAATATTTGAGCCCAAAATTTCAAATTTTAATTTTTTGAAAAAAGAGGCCACCCGTATGTACGTTTATTTGAGAGGAGGAGGATTATATTTTTGAAAGGGTGAAACATTATGAATATGTTAATTATATAATAATATGTATTATTATAAAAAAGAAAAAATAAAGCACGTTAAAATTTTTCTTTCTTGATTTTTTACAAAATCTACTTAGAATTATGCAAAATATTACTAAATAATTATAAATTTCAAGTTAAATTTTTATTTTGATAAATAATTTAAATTTCAAAATATCAAGTTCAGTTCGACTATGTATGTAGTAATTCCTCAATAAAGTGCCAAAAACCTATTAAAATATATGAACATTTTCAACATTTTAATGTTTTTATTTAAAAATTTGATGGAATATGAGCTTCAAACAATTATTATGTAAATAAAAATAATTAAATATATGTATTTATTCGTATTACAACCGTAGTAAGTCGATTCTTCCTTTCTTCTACTGAGTTTTGAATTTGATTTCGAATTGTAAAGAGATTCAAAGGGAAAATACTAGCGGATAAAAACTACCTCCATGAAAGGGTCATAATGGACTCAAGTTGTATTTTTTGATATTTTTTTGCTTTTCGAGCCTAAATAGGTAGCCAAGATAATGCCTAAAAATAAGGTTCTAAATTCTGAAGTTTACATGATCCTCTCGTGTGCACCCTTAACAAATAATAAACATTTTATTCATAGTAATATTGTAACAAAGGGAATCAAGTATGATAATGAAATGCAAGAGTTCATAATCATTTTACATGATTGAGCATTACAAACACGAAGAGACATCATATTTAAGCTGCTCTCAAAAAGCATGTCAACAAACTCTCGACTTTTGTTTTGACAAATAACACCACAAACTAATTTATCGCAGCCAACAAATGCACCTGAACCAATAGACTTAATAGAATATGGCAAATTGATAGTTTGTAATGATTTGCATCCATAAAATGCATTTTCGCCAATAGTTTCGACAGATCTATCAGGGATGAGGATTGATTCGAGAAGATGACATCCAATGAAAGCTCCGTTTTCGATGATCCGTATTCTGTCTGTGAACGTGAAAAACCTGTTTGGTGATGCAGGTGGATAAACATATAGTTGTGTTCGTTCGCTATTGTAAAGCGCACCATTGTCTGTGCAAAAGTTGATCGATTGGAAATCTGTAAAACGTGATAAACTGTTGCATCCATCAAAGACACCATAGTCGAAATTGACCAAATTAGAATTACTTGTAAGTGTAACATCTGTTAGTTTGGTGCATAATCTGAAACATTGTCTTGATAATCTTGTAACAGTATCTGGAATTGTTATTGATGTGATTGATGTATTTGTGAAAGCTTCTGTTCCGATTGAATATATGTTATTCGGTAATTCAATACTTGTTAATAAATAACAATTCTTAAAGCATGTTTCTGGAATGGATGACATTTTGAAGAATTTGTTTTCAAAAACTATTTTTGTTAAGCCTGTATTGCAAAATGAATTTACTCCAACACTGAGAATATTATTTGTAAATGAGAAAATATATAAACTCGTACATCCATCAAAGCATGAATCACCAATTGTGATATTGATATCAGATCGACAATTAAATGTACAGAATTGTAAATTTAAACAATATCTGAAACTCTTGATTCCAATATATAAAATTTGATCATAAATAAAATCGTTTTAAATTACTTCTTCATTTAAATTATAACAATTATTTTTGGTTTTATATTTTTTTGGATCAAATCCATTTTAATAGAATTTATATACTATTCATCTATTAGTAAACACTACCGTATATTATTTTTTAAGCTATCTTATTTTTTGAACTTTTATTCAAATCTTTGGTCGCAAGAAGAATTGCATGATAAATAAAAACATTTAATCAAAGTCAATTTTATTTTTCATATTCAAATGGACTGAGTGTTAACATTTAACATTTTTTGCTAATTGTCGTCAAAAATTAGGCGTAAAGCAAAAATTGATATTTCATATGGTTTTATGATAGATAAGCATTATATTCCCACTCATTATATTCGTAAATTTTGAGGTTTATCCTTCGCTTTTAAGATCATTGAATTTGATTTTTATATAAAATAGTTATATATTAGAAAATAATATGAGTTTATGTGATATTATTTTTCAGAAGATTTTGTGTTCTTCTTCAAAATTTTATTTTTTTATTAAAAGAATCTTTACAAAATATACATTTACTTTAATTAATATTTAAAAACGTGCTCTATCAAAAGTTCCAAAAATTCAATATTTTAGCTTTTCTGAGGTGTCACTTTTGATGAATTTCTGTTTACAACAAAAGTACCTGATTTACCTCATTATTAAACCATTATCTCATTTATTATTTATTCCGTGTATTCTTAGAATTACTAAATTCAATTGAGAAGATAATAATTTGAGAAGGAAAAATCAAACCTCAATCAATTCGATTATTCTAAATAAAAAACTATGATTTCTTTTAAGAACTCAGTTACATGTATTAATTCGAAAATACAAGAATGGTTTCATAAAACAATAACCCTACATTTTGTAAAAATCAAAAGATTCGCTTAGGAAACCAAGCATTATTCGCATGCAGGATCAACATGGAATCATCCATTCCAACATGGTGTAAAAAAAAATCTTCGAAAAAAAAACTCGTTTTTTTCCCAAATTTTTCTTTCATTGGTGCAGAAAAAAAATTTTGAAAAATGGGCTGTATTGCGTCATCTGCAGCCCCTTCTAAATATATGGCGCAGAGGCAGCAGAGGCAGCAGATGGAGTTCTATGACGAGGAGAACCCACCGCCCCCACCACCCCCTATGCCTCTAGAAGAAATTATTAAAATGGACGTTATGAAAATACTCCAAGGTTTAAATCAGATTCGAGCTCCTCAAGACATGTCACCAATCGTTTGCCTAAACGAATATGCATTCCCTTTATACTTAGGCTCGTTTGTTTTCGATGAAGATAACAATGGCCACGTAGATATGCCTGTAGTTGCATTCAGCCACAACAATCGTACTAAATTCATATACTTCGGAGCCATCGGCTTCTTGCAGCACTCCATGATTCAGAATACTGAAACAGCCGCTTTTTTGGAAAATTCGATTACTTGGGCTTCTGATTATAAAGTCTCGACTATCAGGGTATACCTTTACGCTATGCCTAAGAATATCGTTGCTACACTGGTTTCTGATATCCAAAGCTACGGATATAACGTAGAAGCAGGAAATGAATTACCAAAATCTACATTTGACGTCGTATTTTGCACTACAGCTTGCCCTGATGTTCACGGTGTAGCAAAGCTCGCTAAAATGGGCATGACTATCTTCTATTTCTATGTTCCACTTTATCAACCAAATTCACGACTACTAAGCTTCTCAGGCCTTGCATTCCCGCAATGCTCGCTAAGCTCCTCATCTATATTCATGAGGAATAGCGCTGAACCCGTACTACAACAGTATCTTGTGAATAATGTAATTGACGAATACTTCAGAGTTCTTGATGAACAAGATTCCGAGGTCTCTGAATTGGACAACGTCGTTTCCAAGCTTAGGTATTACATTAGCGAAATGACTCCAGAAAATGCGGAAATTATTCTAAAATTACAGGACAAATCAATGGAATACCTTCAGAAAACGGGATTCAGGAATGGAGAACTCATGTGCAATGATACTAGACAATGCATGGTTTGCATTATCCTTTCAGAATTAATAAATAAGATTCCTCCCGAATCTGTCAAGCCCGTACCAGACCTTGAGCTTTTCCCAGGCGTAACAGACGAAAAAACATGTACAAAACGTATAAATATCGAGACAAAAGCAGGAATTTGGCATTCGACCGGATTATGGTTACAAGCAGGACAAATTGCGACTGTAGAAACATCGAACCATCTTACAATACAAGTTGGCGCGCAGACTTTATGTCTTCTCGTCAAAGAATTTCCGTGGAAACGATGGCCATCGGTAATTACTACTTACAACATATCCCCGAATACTCCTACAGCCATTGCCACCCAATTTGGTGGGCCAGTGTTCGTTCTTTCCGAAAAGAACCACAATGTTTCCGTTCAAATCGAAGGATGCGCACTTTACCCCTATTTCTACAACGACAAACCAAGTATTTGGGAACAAACAAAGACTTCCACCATCCCGTGGGGCGAAATCGAAACGAAATACGTTTGTATCAACCTTCCTGCAAGAATGATCCACAACGAACAGAAAATTAGCCAGATGTGTAAACGTATCGACCAATTAATGCAATACATTCGAGAATTTGAGGCCATTCAGTACAATACTTTCAAATCTCGACTTGTATTTGACGTAGAAGTTGCCAAAGGGGAGCCAATAGTAGAAGATGTAGTGTTTATGTCGGTTGACGATGTCCAAACCTATCTTACCAATGCAACTGACGACAAATTTATTTATACAATTTTATTATTGGCCCAATCCCAAATAATTGACTTCTTTATGTCACCCATTATTGAGAGGAGCGTTGCCTCGTGTGCAGTAAGGTACGCTCTCTCGAAAGTTTCTCCAAATGCCAAAATTCCAGATTTCCTTGACGCGAAAGCACCTTATCTCTTCAAACCTCTGTGGAATGTGTGCTCACACCACGGTGCGCAGCCATTCGCAACTGCTTTGAGGAGGCAGTCCGCGCAGAATTACGTGGATGATGACGAAGCGTGGAAGAGTTTCGTCCAAGTTTTGGGAACTTCCGCTGGATCTGACTTCACAAAGATTCTGGATTTGGGTGCGAAACCAGGAATGCTTCTGGAACAGTCTTCTGAATGTTTGGCACAGTATCAATTGGATCAGGCAAGTCTCTGATATATTTGTTTGTATTTTTTTGTTTGTATTTTTTATTTTTTTATACTTTATTATATTATTATTTTATCTTCTTTTATATATTGACCATGAATACAATTTGATAAACGTTGTATGTTATAACTTTATCTTTTTATTTTACACTCTTCTTTATAAAACACAACTCTTTTAAATTATATTCTCTTACAAAAATCAATTCATCTTTATTAGAATAGCAAAAAAAGTATAATTGCCATACTATGCATTATAAAATGATATATAATAACTTTGTTCCGATTTTGTTAAGTGTTAAAAAGCGTAATTCTATTGCATATGATTATTTTTGCTTCTAATGCCGGACAATTTTTGAATCAAAAATAATCGTCGGAGTAGAATTTTAGCTTTTTTGCTTTAGAAAATTGGGATATAAATCTTGGATGTCAAAAAATTGAGAGAATGTCAGAAAGTGGTAAGTTCACCCTTAATTTTATTAAATATTCATGATTTCTACTGATGATATGAGTTTAAATCAATGCCCTGAAGAAAGCTAAAGCAAGAATGATGTCATTCTATAGAAATGTGGATTTTTTTGTAAAATACACTCGAAAGTATATCAAAAATTGAGATTAAATTTTTATTAATTCACCTTTGAAATCAAAAACTTGAACATTGATTTCATAGCTACCAGTTTGGTTCTTTCCTGTATGAATAATTTTGAAAGCAACAAAATAGTTGTTTGTTTGGAGAGGGAATTTCTTGGTTTCCATAGTCTTAAATGCATAATCTTTATTATCTAAAACAACAGTTGATCCATCTTCTTTTATACCTTCCAACCTCCAATATCTCAAAAGACGGCTATCAGAGTATGTTGATAGCAAAATATAAGAATTTGGTTTTAATTTATATCCTTTGAGATCCGCTCTAATCCATGAATTTTCAGAATTTTGGGTATGGAAATCATCATGAGTAGTATAAGTATTTATATCTGTTAATTTTCCACAACAACGAGTTGATGATGAATATTCCATTTTGATTTCTTTAGAAGCAAGCAAAAATACATATGAATTTGATGGATTAGAAATTTCAAATTTTGGTTTAGCTATAGGTTTTTCGAATGATGATTCAGAGTTATTAGCGAGTTCAATTTTATTTCGTATATTTGAATGATAGTGTTTCAGCGTGTCTTTATAAATCTGTAGAAGAATTGATTCGAACGAATTTTCAACTGAAAAATTATATATTTCATCAATGATATGAGGAGTGCAATATTCTAATGAAATATGTCTAAACAAATCAAAGAACTTATTGTCACATTTACAAATTTCGAGGAGTAACATGCAGAGTTTATCCTCGTTTTCGATTTTTCATGATTTTGATGTCAAAATTTTTTTCGCAAAAGTCATATCCAAATTCAACAGTATTTTCGATAATATCTGTGTCATTCAGGCAATATAAGTGTGATGATATGTATTCGATGCATTGATTTTGTGTTGTGAAATCGTTTTCCATAGCAGAAATTTCATATTTCCGAAATACATTTTCATTTGTAATGGAACTTTCTGATTTGATGTGTTTGATGTATATTTGTATCAATAACTGATTCTTAAATCGTTTTCCAAATTCAAATATATCATGATAATGATCTTCATCTTCTTCAAACTCAAGGATTCGGGTGTCTATAAACTTCTTGAGTATGTTGATTGAATCTTTGCACTTAATATTTAGTTTCAATTCAATGAATGATATTAATTTATTCAAAATGCATTCATTTTTAAGGGTGCACCCGTATGTACGTTTATTTGAGAGGAGGAGGATTACCCTCTCAATTTTGAGGGATTCGTTAGTTTATTTTCTCGATGAATATGCAATAAAATTTGATTTTTACCTTATCAATATACTTCATATAATATACACATGTTCATGTAAAAACTTTTTTCCAAAATCCTCAGGAATTAAGGGATTTTTGAATTTTAAGAATTTTTTTTCGAATTTTTTCGAAAAAAAATATTTTCAGAACAGCCTTAACGGCTAAGATTTAGGAACAATGTTAAGTATCAAAAAGAAAGGAGGTCTGATATAGACAACATATATCGTTGAAGTTTGAAAAAATCTCTAATATTTGAGCCCAAAATTTCAAATTTTAATTTTTTGAAAAAAGAGGCCACCCGTATGTACGTTTATTTGAGAGGAGGAGGATTATATTTTTGAAAGGGTGAAACATTATGAATATGTTAATTATATAATAATATGTATTATTATAAAAAAGAAAAAATAAAGCACGTTAAAATTTTTCTTTCTTGATTTTTTACAAAATCTACTTAGAATTATGCAAAATATGACTAAATAATTATAAATTTCAAGTTAAATTTTAATTTTGATAAATAATTTAAATTTCAAAATATCAAGTTCAGTTCGACTATGTATGTAGTAATTCCTCAATAAAGTGCCAAAACCCTATTAAAATATATGAACATTTTCAACATTTTAATGTTTTTATTTAAAAATTTGATGGAATATGAGCTTCAAACAATTATTATGTAAATAAAAATAATTAAATATATGTATTTATTCGTATTACAACCGTAGTAAGTCGATTCTTCCTTTCTTCTACTGAGTTTTGAATTTGATTTCGAATTGTAAAGAGATTCAAAGGGAAAATACTAGCGGATAAAAACTACCTCCATGAAAGGGTCATAATGGAGTCAAGTTGTATTTTTTGATATTTTTTGCTTTTCGAGCCTAAATAGGTAGCCAAGATAATGCCTAAAAATAAGGTTCTAAATTCTGAAGTTTACATGATCCTCTCGTGTGCACCCTTAATATATGACTAGTCTTATATCCAACATCTCTACATTAATTTCGAGAATTAGTATCTACAAAAATCATTTATATCCTATTTGGGATTTGATGTTTAATTTTTTGACAAATACGAATTGTATGGAATATGCCGAAACAATGAATTGTTTAGTAGCAGTAATAGAATGCAATATTGAATTAGATGAAATTGATCAAAACAATATGCTTTTTTAAAACATTAGTATCTGATAAATCAAATAAATTGAATTTGTTACAGAATTCTTTAATTGTAAGAAGATGTTGACAATTAAAGTGTTATGTTGAGAGCAATTAATGGTCACACATGTGTTCTGCGACTTCTTCTTTCTGATCCATCCATTGATGTCAATGCCACTAACAACTCATCACGTACAGCATTGATCCGGGTAGCTCGTGACGGACATTTCGAAGCTTTAGAACTTCTCTTGAGTTTTCCAGGCATCGAGAAGAACATCGTCGACAAGAAGAATCGCAGTGCTCTTCATTACGCAGTTCTTCTCCACCACAAACAGTGCGTTGAGTGTCTTCTGAACGACAAAGATGTCAATCCACAACTTCCTGATGATTCTAGTTTCACACCTCTTCACATCGCTGCATCTAATGATTTCTCAGACTTAATCCGTCTTTTCGCCGATCGAGATGACGTTGACTTGAACTGCGTCGACTCAATCCAGTGGACACCTCTCCATGTTGCCGCTAAATGCGGCTCAACTAGTTTCGTCGAAGAGTTGCTTCAACACGAAAATGTCGATGTCAACCGTCAGAACTTGATGAAGCGAACTCCTATTTTCAACGCTATTGAAAACGAAAAAATCGAAGTTGTCAAAGTTCTCCTTTCTCGTGAAGATCTCGATTTGAGTGTTGTTGACAGCGAAGGACACACAGCTAAAGATGTCGCACTCCAGACAAAGAACGAAGATATTATTAATCTTCTTTTAAATAAATGAGTTTTTTTATTTTTTTTTTGTTTGTAAAAAAATTATTTTTAATAATAAAAAACGATAATAATAAATCCTTGAAAAATTAACGCACTTGTCTAAAGGAAAATGATAAATGATGTTACGTATTGGAAGCATATTTATTCTGCTTTACAGAAATATGTTGAAAAGTGAGTAAAGTTATGAATAAACTGATCCTAGTGAATGATATTGTATTACACAGAAATTGAATGCGACATTTGAAATTGTTTGCAATAGCGAGAGAATAGATTATTGAATGACAAAAATGCATCTTGAGTGTCTTTACTTATACTTGTAATGACAAATGTTCTTAAGGGTGCACTTACGCGTATCTGACTTTAATTCAAATTTCTGACAAATGGCGTGAAGTGTCATTGAAAATTAACCTTAAACATCTGAATCGAAGGACATGTAATACAGGTGTAAGTGCACTCTTAAGAAAAATTTTCCACTTCAAGATAACAATGATATAATAGAATTGAATAAGAAATCGTTAAATTTATTATCCAACATCTCCCCAAGATACAATGTCCAATCATTTGTAAACGAAGAATATTACAAAATATCATCGAAATAACAATAATTCTTTTTGCTATAGTTTTATTCTTTCTGTCATAGCAAATTTCTATTATAATATTGAACTCTTTATTGAAATATCAGTTTGTTAATACTTAGATGCCTTACAAAGAAAACCTATTTCGAAATTAAGAGCCATGTTCCCGATATTATTGCATTACTATATCAGTACTAATTATTTAAATTCACTGTAACAAATACGAACTCTTTGAAAATTAAATTGAGAAATCAAGCCGCATCATCTTTTGAATATAAAGTTTTTCATATTTCAATTGATATTAAGGCTCCGGTCCTGCATGATTACTGCATATAGTTAGGACGAGTGTCTAATAAGGAGTAAAAATATACCAATAGATTGCACATATACCAATATTTTGTAAAAATTAAATATTATCTATTTTAAAAATTTTCGAATTTGACTATATTATCGTTTTAAACATGATATATACTAACTTTACTATTTGATATATGATAAATAATGATATTTTAAAAATTGAAAATTTGGATTTTTAAATTTGCAAAGTATATAGTATAGTAAATTCATAAATGAGTATAATGTGCCCAATTATAACAATTTTCAATCATTTGATAATTCTATGACTATGGATTTTTGTACTTCTAATTAAAATAATGTCACTTTTTAATATATTGAGTTTAAGGTTTAAATTTAATTTAAAAAATCGATTTGTTTATACATATTGGAAAGGAATTTTTTTGATAATATCTTTTGTATATTAATACATTATGACTTATAGTATGTCACCATAATATAAGTTCAAATTTTTATCATGCACATCAATATAAAATTGTAATTCAAAAAACACCTACTTCTATCGTCAAAAATACTCTCAATTTGAAAAAATACATCAAAAATATCAAATTTGCAAACCTAATTCTTCGAAATACCGAAGAAGGTAGAATATACAAATAGTGTCGACAGAAACTATATAATTTTCTTTACAAATTGTCGAAGGGGAACTGAGAGTTTTTTCTTATACGTTGAATTATAAATCAAATTATTGAATGGATTTTTGGAAAATTGAATACTCAATTATCGAAAAACCGTTTTGACAAAAAGTGATTAATACAATATTGTTGCCTATATTAAGTAATTATCATATATGATTTTTATTATCATATCAATTAATCGTGCATGAAGTTATTCTCGACGCAAAAATCGTTTTTTATAGGGGTCTTGCAAATCTAATTCTTCTTTCATATATTTTTTTAGAAGCAAACTCACTATATCAAAATAAACTTTAGTTGCATTCTAACAATTTGTCGAAGGGGAACTGAGAGTTTTTTCTTTATTATCAAGATATGACAAAAAATGTTAATATACAATTTTTAATATTCGACATATATAGCGATAATGTAACATTATATGATTTTATTATATTATGATAGCATATATAAACCTTATCATATTATTAAAACTTTCACAAATCAAAAATATCTAGATTCTGTCAAAAAGTGATTTGTCAGATTTTTTCAAAAAAACAAATTACTCATCTAGAAGAGATTGTAAATCAAGTTTACTAATAACAATATAATGTATCACTAATATGCTATAAAATGTCGTGGACTTTTTTGATTATAAATAGTTTTACCGGTCAAAGTTGAAATTTGTCAAAATACCGAATTCTCAGATAAGATGAACTATAATAGTAATACTCAGTTTAAATATACTATACTATAGTGTATTACATAATGATATTATGTACTAAAATAAAAGTATCAAAAACTCATATTGGTGGAGATATTAAAACTTTTAAAATTGAGAGGGTGGGACCGGAGCCTTAAACAATTGATGAATGCTTTCGTTAATAATGGTCTTTAATTACAATTTTTTGATTATATAAATTCATAAATCATGAATATTAACGCCTTCGTCTAAAGGAAAATTGATGATATAAATCAAAAGCAGATCTCATAGGCTTTTTATCTAAAATAGGAAGCTCTGTTTCACACAGATATGATGAAAAGTGAGAAAGATTATGAATAGAATATATATTTTGAACACTATTTGTTGTAACTGATCCTTTTTTACCTATTATTCTGTCACAGAAAGAATCTTTAACTGTAATTGAACCAGAATATTGATAAAATTCTTCCTGATCCTGTGTTTCCAAGAAATGAACAGTTTTCAATAAGAACAGTTGATCCACCTGCACAGAATGTTCCCAATGTAGAATATTTGCGTTCATTATTCAAAACATTACAAAAATTAAAATTATAGTTACCAACTTAATTTAAAAATTTATAATTTGATGTTGTGTTACAAAATGATGAATATGTTACATTACTTAGACTTTTGGATATCTTAGAAGTATTCCTGAGTCCCAGGCTGCTTCACAGAAACTTGTGTTGATTGATTTAACTCCAATATTTCCATACCAAAGATGATTTGTAGAAATTTTTCTAAATTTCCGCATTCATAAAAAGAACTTTCATAAAGATAATTTTTATTATTTGATTTATAAACTAATTCAACATATGAATGATGTCCTTGATTGTTTGTTTTTGATTTGTAGCCACATGATCGATATTGGACAATCGAACTATCACAGGAAAAGTAGAGAGATCCACCTTGTATTACTGCTGCAGTTTATAATGAACAATCAGAGTTAAGAAATTTTTTTTGAATTAAAATAAATGGCACTATTAGTTGTAATGGTGATGAATATACAGTTATATAAGAAGCATTCATTTTTGTTGATCTTGCTTGAACGTTTGTACCTTGAATTGGTTCTGAATTAGGTGGTATTGTAAAAGAGTTCCCAAACATTATTAGGTAATTGATCAAAGTGTAAATTATTCATAGTTGATGTGTGTTTTGATACTGTTATCTGAAAATCGTGATTGAATTTCATTGTTTTCATCAAAAAAATGAATCGGCATTATTTGACATTTCAATGATGTAAATGTCAAATAATGCCGATTCATTTGAATCTTATATTCAAGTTATGAAATTGATTCTTTTAGCTGTCATCAGCATTTTAACAGCTAGTGCATGGAAACAATGATGTAAATCATTCTAATCTTATATAAAAACATCGATTTTGCTGATTAAATTTTTGGATTTCGTAATAAAATGATCAATATTGTAAATAATTAAAGCTATTGTACTTACACATGATTTGTATATTATAAAATGTATGAAATATCGACTTAATTCGCTTGAAAATTTGAAATAGGGAGAATCTTTATATAAAACGCCTAATATCTAACAATTATTACATTAAATGAATACTTAAATTTGAGTAATCGATGATTTATATGAATTCTCTGGTCTGAATAAAGAATATCGAAAATTAGTTTGATTTTGGGGTTGTTTTGATAGTATTGTCAAATGTAATGATGTAAAAACATGAATTTATTAGTAAATACATGCTCGTGTTTGAGTAAAAATAGATATTTGTTGTTGTGAAATAAGTATTTGATTTCTTGTAAATCTTGAATGAAAACAATAAGTTCGTATCAATGGGAAAATCGAATATGTAGCTATTTAATTTGTATCAAAAGAATTTTTTAATGAGAATTTAAATTTCGAAGAAATTTGTTATGTATCGTTGAGTTTTGTAATTAAAACTGATATGTTAATGATGTGATTTGCTTTTTTAAAACATTTATTAGTCTTGATGAAATAATTTTTCTTTTGGTTAAACATTTCTTCTGAGTTTGCTAATAAAGACGGAGTCCTTTGTGAATGTGACATAGGCGCCCGAGAACCGTATGCACAAAAACTCTTATTGGGTGTCTTGTCTTTAGATATTCTTTCAAAAATATGCCAAATTTGATTGATGATTTCTAAAAAAGTAATCTAATCATCTGATGCCATTAATTGTATTTAGAAAAAAAATTCGTTCTTTTAATTTTTTAAGAGTATCACAGCAGATGATTAACTTTCCTTGATTTACGATACAACTAATTCACCAAATGCAGAAGTGCAATCGAATACAAACAATCGAATCTCCTAATTGATGAATCAAATAGTCCATTTTTCATTGAATTATTTAATCAAATCGTCTCTAATCATAGCAATCCTCCAAAATCAATCAGTAGTACACATGTTATCTTTGATCAATTCTTACGTTATAAAGAGAAGAGCACATTTATATGATCTCAAGTATATTTTTGATTTTTTTTTACAAATCTTGTCAATAAGACATTTGAAGTTGTTACCGATACAGTTACATAATTTTGAGATACAAATTCACCGCGCAATATTATTTTATTAAACTAAAACAGAGATAATTTTCTAAAAATTTAAATCATACATTGATCAGTACCTTGTAGAAGATACACATATTGATTTCAAATTCGTATGCATTGAAATGTTCGACGACATTTACACTGTTCGTTTTGAACCTATAATTATTCCATTTATAGTTGAAATGACAAAAATTTACCACATCAAGATAAGCGATGATACAATCGAATTGATCTCACATTTCAGCATGATACAAATATCAATAATATGTAAACTAAAAAACATTATTGATATACTTAAGGGTGCACCCGTATGTACGTTTATTTGAGAGGAGGAGGATTACCCTCTCAATTTTGAGGGATTCGTTAGTTTATTTTCTCGATGAATATGCAATAAAATTTGATTTTTACCTTATCAATATACTTCATATAATATACACATGTTCATGTAAAAACTTTTTTCCAAAATCCTCAGGAATTAAGGGATTTTTGAATTTTAAGAATTTTTTTTCGAATTTTTTCGAAAAAAAAATATTTTCAGAACAGCCTTAACGGCTAAGATTTAGGAACAATGTTAAGTATCAAAAAGAAAGGAGGTCTGATATAGACAACATATATCGTTGAAGGTTGAAAAAATCTCTAATATTTGAGCCCAAAATTTCAAATTTTAATTTTTTGAAAAAAGAGGCCACCCGTATGTACGTTTATTTGAGAGGAGGAGGATTATATTTTTGAAAGGGTGAAACATTATGAATATGTTAATTATATAATAATATGTATTATTATAAAAAAGAAAAAATAAAGCACGTTAAAATTTTTCTTTCTTGATTTTTTACAAAATCTACTTAGAATTATGCAAAATATGACTAAATAATTATAAATTTCAAGTTAAATTTTAATTTTGATAAATAATTTAAATTTCAAAATATCAAGTTCAGTTCGACTATGTATGTAGTAATTCCTCAATAAAGTGCCAAAACCCTATTAAAATATATGAACATTTTCAACATTTTAATGTTTTTATTTAAAAATTTCATGGAATATGAGCTTCAAACAATTATTATGTAAATAAAAATAATTAAATATATGTACTTATTCGTATTACAACCGTAGTAAGTCGATTCTTCCTTTCTTCTACTGAGGTTTGAATTTGATTTCGAATTGTAAAGAGATTCAAAGGGAAAATACTAGCGGATAAAAACTACCTCCATGAAAGGGTCATAATGGACTCAAGTTGTATTTTTTGATATTTTTTGCTTTTCGAGCCGAAATAGGTAGCCAAGATAATGCCTAAAAATAAGGTTCTAAATTCTGAAGTTTACATGATCCTCTCGTGTGCACCCTTAATGAAATCTGAAAAACAAACTGCAGCGGACTTCAATGTTTCAATAATCTGTTCATTTATCTTGATATGTAATTTATCACATTCTCTAAGAATACCCACACGCTCTATTTCATTGCACAACGCTGTAATTAGTGCCATAGAAATGATTAAAAAAAAGTAAATTTTCCACCGTTTTTTTTTATCGTGCACCTACACCCGTATGACACCCCCATCAATTCTAGAGTTTAAGGATGATTTTCATTTTAATGTTAAGCTTAAGGTTGTCAGAAATTTGAATGAAGAAATGTGATTGTGAATTCCTGAAAATTTAAACACATTAATATTTTGTAAGTAGGCAAATTTACACATCTTGATGATGAAAAAGAGAATCAATCAATGACATTGTAATTTGCTTCATATCTCTGCATTTGTTTATTTTCTTCATCTCATGTATATTATCCTCAGCATTCTGTTGAAAAATAACAGCACGTTTGATTTCTCCATATTATAATTTCAAATGATATCAAAGCATTGGTATCAGGTTCATAGATTTTCACATCAGTAAAAAAAATAATAAGTATTGATATATACATAACAAATTTATTCGAAAGTAACTAAAATTGAAGGACAGTCGAAATCTCCTTCAGGAAGTGGTTCTACAATTGCATAATCAGTGTCTGGATGAATTACATCTTCAAACGTGAGATCTGGCTTATCCAAAGGAAGAGTTCCTGTTCGTGTAGCCCATGAATCAATTCCACATTTGAGTTGTTCTTTCAAATTTTGCAAAACTTCACCAAGTTTTGTTTTAGAATCAAATCTAAAATATTCCCAGCCGTAAAACAACCTTTCTGTGTTTCCAAACTTGCGTGGATTATTCAATCTTGTCTGTTTAGCATACCTAATGCTACAGTTCTCGGAATAGAACGTTCCAGTGTATCCGAAATCAGGATTTGCAAGATAATCCATGTAAATTAGCCAAATATTAGATGAAACGATCGAATTAATAGTAGAAACAACAGGTACTATTTTACCAGCAAACTTAATACAGTCACTTTCTGTGATTTCTGGCAAATTAAAAATTAATGATCGGAGATTACTCGAAGACATGAGCAAATCAACCTGATCCTTATTATATTCATCAAACATATGTGTTCGTTTGGGCTTTTCTTTGGAAACTTCCTTTAATTCCTTCTTATGATTCGAAATTTCTTCATCTGTTGGATAAATTATAGAAATATCATTGATCTTAGCCATTAAATCTTCATCAGTTGGCAATGGAATGTTGCTTGCTGCTGCCAAAAGCTTTGTCAGAGAAATAATAAATTTTTTGTGAAGTTCATTGGTTTTATCATACTTAATTGTTTTAGGAAAGATCCTTGTACCTGACCAGTAAGGTTCACCATTTCTTATTTCGTCTTTTGGATGCAAAATAATATTATTTTGCCAATAAATGTAAAATTTTGATCTGAATTTGTTCTTAGCGTAATCAATGCATTCATCAATTGTCTTATATCCACTAGAATTGATTACTTTGATGAGAAATTCCGTTGCCCATTCGATACAATGTTCTTTCTTATAAGGAAAGCTTCTCAAAGTACAAGTTTTAGTTGTTTGTGGTTCAGATCTAATTATATATTGATTTGTAACGTTAGGAATTTTACATTCAAAGTCTCCTTGTCCAGGAGACAATCCTCCTGTAAAGAAAGGGATAGAAGCTAAGGCAGCATTTCCTGCAATCAGTCCTCTTGCTGAAAATGAGTCAACAAGGCCAAAAGCTGTTGTATGGTCACTGAAGAATTTTAATTTTGTTTTTTCTGTAATATAAATAGGATATGTATTAATATTTAAGTTACTTCTATACTCTAGTAACTTTTCTTTAGCTGTTTCGGCTTTGTTTTTCTTAATATCTTTGTCAGAAAATAATAATTGTCGATTTAAGTTGGAAATTTCAATATCATCGCGATCAACCAACGACATCAATGCTGGATTATATGTAGAAGCAATTTTGGAGAGTGTACAACCAACTGCTCCAATTCCACAAATTAAAAGTTTTTCTTTTGAGAAATCTAAAGTCTTTGGCTTAAGAAAATCATATTCTATGAATTCTGGATTCATTTCTTTAAACTTTTCGCATGCTTCTTCATAAGATTTCGATTCAAATAAATTTTCCAAACAAAAAACAAACCATTGGTTCTTAATTGGCATATAAGTATGTGTTAAATACTTAATAGCTTCATTTGCACATAATCCTCCTATTAAAGTTCCAATTGCTTGGTCATATAACAAAATTGGTTGTGATTTTTGACGATTTAAGAAGAAATTACGAACCCATTTATGTCTTTCATTATTTACAATCATTTGTGGAACAGTTTCAAGTGATTCATCATAAGATTTGAAAATTAATTTTGATTTTTCTTTAATTTGAGTAATAAATCCGTTATCTTTTGTTTCATCAAAGTTAGAGAACTTGGTTGTATCAATAATATTGTATTTACGTCCAGAAATCTTCGTAAATTCGACAGATTCGATTTCATTTAACTCAGGAACACTTTGAACATGAGAGAAATAGCCATGAAATGATTTAGGAATGATTGAATCTTTTGGAGCAGCAAATTCTACAATGCCAGGATTTGATTTTGTAATTTTCGAAATTTTATATGAGAAAGGAACCCTTCCATCCTTGTTTTGTACGGTAAAGTCGTCTCCAAAGTCTATAAATATGCATGAGAGATATGAATAAGAGTCAGAATATATGAATCCTATATGATTTTCTCGACATTTTTGATTTAATTTTGTAATTTCATCATGAAAAAGTGGTTTTGTTTGGACAAGTAGCATATATTTGGTCAATACAGAAGTATCTAATGATGTTTCAATGATTATTTCGCAATTTGGATTTAAATAATTCAATTTTGATTTTAAAATTTCGCATTTTGGCTTTCCTAGATCTTCATTTGTCAAATAAAAGTTACTTGATACATCACTAGGTGATATTATGTCATTATCGTAAATACCAACGCAGTTGCAACCCGATAAAATCAAATTAACAACAGTTTCAGTTCCAATAACATTCATTCCTGATACTAATATCATTCCATCTTGTATATTCTTGAATGTTTCTAGGCCATATGACAAAATATTCCTATTAAATCGATTCTCCATATAAAATGGTGGAAAAATAAATTGTTTATTTTCCAAGCCGTATCGTTTAGAAAATTGAAAGATCATTCAATTGTCAGACGGCAAAATTAAAGAATAAATGGTCAAATACATTATGCAGCAGAATATATAGTTGCAGTGAATTTACAGAAATCCTAATGCAATATGGTCCAGATCTTTCAATTAGAGATAATGATATAAATATTGGAAATAAATAATTAAGTATCATTCTTGTAATATAGATTAGATTTAATAATACACAACATAGTTTTAATCCTTACATATCATGTAAAAACAACAAAAAAAATAATTACATTTAAATCTTAAGGCTTGGATGATTATCTATAATGAAGCTTGTCATTGCATCTTCAGTTGATTGAAGATCATGAGCATTCAAGAACTTTCTAAATAAAAGATCCTGTTTTCGAGCTTTTTCCAGTTCTTTTTTAATAATTAAAACAAGTTTCTGGAAACTTTCTTCATTTAATTGTTGAGATGCATCATAGAATGATCCAAAGTTCTCTGCAAAGTAACCATAAAGATTTCTCATGTCTCGTTCATGTTCATGCTTTAACTCATCAATCTTAACCCTATTATTTGTATCGAAAATAACAAGTTTAGCCTTTGTTTGAGCTTCAATCAATTGCTTTGATCTTTCAAATGATTCTGCTTGAACTTTTCCATTGATTTCTTCCTTTCTGAGTTTAAGATTTAACTCACTTATCTGAGACTTCATTTCGTTGATTTGTGACTCAGAAACTTTTAATTTTTCAGACAATTCTTTAACTAAATCATTTGCTTTTTCAGCATGAGATTCATGAAGAGAATTGATTTTTTCATATTTTGACTTCATGTCACTAAGATTCTTTTCCAATTCTCCTTTCATTTTTACTTCATTTTGTCTCAAAACGATGCAGGATTCATTGTATTTAGTTAATAAATTATCAAAATCATCTTTGAGCTTAGAGTTTCTCTCTTCTAAAACTCTCAATTGATTTATTGTTGTTGCCAATTCTAGTTCCAAATTTCTCTTTTCTCCTGAAAGTTTTTCGATTTGTTTGCTTGTTTGTGCTTCCAAATTATTGTACTTCATCTTTTGAATAGTTATTAATTCATCGTAATGATTTTGATCCAGTTTAAGTTCATCATCTTCATCATCTTGTTCTTTTTGTTCTGTAAATGTTGAAATAATTTGTTCATTTTGTTGTTGAAGAATTTCAATTTGATGATTTTGTTCTTCAATTTGAACTTTGCAATTCTGGTTTGCTTCTTCAAGACAAGCAATTGTTTCTGCGAGATGTTCACGCTTTGACTTTGATTGTCTCATTCTGTTCTTGTAGTATTCTGAGTCATTTGCTCTTTGTTGTTTTTCATTTTCCAAATCAACATTTAACTTCTGTATTTGTTGTCTTTGCTTGTTAAACGTATCAATGACTTGTTCCAATGAGTTTTGCTTGAGAGAAATTAATAAGCTATTGAGTTTTGATCCATAAGAATCTCTTTCTTCTTTGAATTTTTGACAGTCATTTGCCAATTTCTGAAATTCTTCTGGAATTTGTTGTTCAGTAATTTCCTCTTCACCAATGATTGCTTTGAGGGAATCAAGGAAGTTATTATGGCTTTTCTGCAATTCATAACTGTTCTTTTCGGATGTTTCCTTAAGGATCCTGTTTTGGCCTTCGATTTTTCCAATCCATTTTGAAATAATTCTCAAAACACTTTTTAGACGAGAATTCGGTTCAAGAGCATCATTTTCAACAATATTCGTGAGTAGTTGGACAAGTTCTGTAGGATATCCTGTGAAATCAAATGTTAGTTCTTCCTGTTTCTGAACTTTTATCGGTGAATTCTTTTTATCTCGAAGTTTTGCAGCGATTGTTTCAACGGCATGATCTTGTGTCTCAAGCATATTGTTTTGTTTTGATATGATTCCTAATAAATTATCACGAATCCTGCAAAGATCTTTAGTTTCTTCGTTCTTATCTTCGAGCATTTTGTTAATTGCTTCAATTGAATCGAGCAATGATTTGATTTTTGTATCTGCAATATCTAAATCACATTTCAAGTTCGCAATTTGCTTGTTGAGTCCGTCAACGGTCAAATTAAGTTTATAATTTTTATCTTTCTCAGCAATTAGCTCGTTTTCAGCTTCAGAGAGGTCCTTTTGCATCATTTGTATATCTTTGATCTTCTTTTCTACATTATTACAAATCTGATTTGCATCATCTTTGATGAGAAGCCTTTCTTTTTCTAGTTGACTGATTTTTGAAGATAGGTCTGATATTTTATTGTTTAACGTTAATATTGTTTTGTCTTTTTCTACTATTTCGTCTTCTTTCTTCTGAAATTGAGTTAATGGAACTGTTTGAACTTTCTGTTCTTCAGTTTGTGAAGATTTTGATCTGTAACTCTTAGATTGTGCTAGAGGAGCATCTTTCTTCTTGATTTGGACGATTGTTTCGACCTTTTGGTTTGAAATTTGCAATTCAAGTTGTTTGATCTTTGCTTGAGATTTTTGAATCTGGTTCGTCATTGCAGCCTCATAATGTTTCGTCAGTGAATCTAATTCTTCATCTTTAGAACGATTAATTGACTCAAGATTACGTAATTGTCTGTAAAGATCTTTAATTGTCTTTTCATTATCTGAAACAATCTGTCTCGAGCTTATTAGCTCTTTTACTTGTGCAGGTACTGTATCTTGGGCTTTCGGCTGGTTCAAAAACGTAATAACATTATCAACTGTCAAAAATTCAGCGTTAAAGTATACTTTCAATTGATCAATAAGTCTTGTAATGGTTGCATTTTGCGATATTTGTTGGTTTTTCGTCTTAGTTAATGACTCTTGAAGAACTGAAATTTGGTTTTCTTTTTCTTTGAGCGTCTTTTCCAATTTTGATATATCTAACGTGTACTGTTTCTTTAATCTGTCAGTTTCGGTGTTTAAATATTTGTTTGCAGATTCTTGTATTTGCTCATTTTTCGTTTTTAATTCTTCATTGGTTTGCATCAATATTTTCATTCTTCTTTCAAGATCTTCGATTTTACTATTAGTTTCTAAATCGTATTTTTTGTTTGCAAGTCCGATTTCTCCCTTGATTTTTGAATAATCTTGTAAAGCTTGTTGTAATTTAAACTCTGAATCGGTCAAACTCGATTTTAATTGATAATTTTGTGCTTTGAGATCTTGTAGAGCTTCTCTAAGTTGCTCATTATCATCCAGATCTATTGAATCGTTCATAATTTAGAGGAGCAAAATCTGGTAGCCGTTTAAAATTTTCTGCCATATTTTGGTAATGTGATTTTGTGGAAGAATATATAACCTTGCAATAATTTAAACCAGTTTTCATCCGAAAATAGCTGTTATCCTCTTAATCGAGTCGAAGATGAATATTTTATGTCATTTTTTAGGGGCGGCGACAAATTTGCCCAGCCAGTAAAGTATTCAATTTTTTTGCATTTTTTTTTAAAGCTTCTTAACTGAAATCATGGAATGTCTCAAAGACAAAAGTAGCATACAGCATGTAAAGCTAAAGAAAGATAATCATAATTAATACCTTAATTTTTAATATTACGCATTTTTAGGTGCAAAATTTAAAAACATTCTAATACAATAGAGCAGTTTCCAAAAGTAGCATACAGCATGTAAAGCTAAAGAAAGATAATCATAATTAATACCTTAATTTTTAATATTACGCATTTTTAGGTGCAAAATTTAAAAACATTCTAATACAATAGAGCAGTTTCCAAAAGTAGCATACAGCATGTAAAGCTAAAGAAAGATAATCATAATTAATACCTTAATTTTTAATATTACGCATTTTTAGGTGCAAAATTTAAAAACATTCTAATACAATAGAGCAGTTTCCAAAAGTAGCATACAGCATGCAAAGCTAAAGAAAGATAATCATAATTAATACCTTTAAAGTTTAAAATCTTGATTTTTTTTAAAATCAAATATTTATAACTTTAATACATACAGCTTAAACCTTATACTTGTTTTCTCTTGTGAGAAAGCAATCTTACAAAGCTAACAATCCTAAAAAATAAAGAATTAAAATTTAATAATTTAATCTAACAAAATTTCTCTCTTTATCCTTTTGCACTCTTTATATGCAACTCAAATCCATCATATAATATTCCTATAATACTCTTGCCTCAAACAATGACGAACAAACTGCTATTCTCATTTAATTACAGACCAAATCTATTCAAATTTCTGAATTTTTAATTTTCATTTCAATTTCAAATGGAATTAGAAGAAGAAACTATCTTTACTGTTATGGATCTTTGTAAATTTGGAGTTAAACAAGAAATACAAGCACAGTATGGATATGGTGAACGTGTCAGGAAAGAAAGATCTCAGATTTCATTCCACTGCAAATATCCAAAATGTCCTGCACATTTTAATGTTGCAATCTTGGATCAAAATAAATACAAACTAATCAAAATAGTTGAAGAACATGATCATTCCGCCCCAAATGACAAAAGTCAATATTCGTCTGTCTTTTATCGCAAATATTTAGAACATTACTTCCAAACAGATGACAATCAAAGAGCGATAGCACAGCTAAATGCATTCAAAGATCTTGAAATTCCTCTTACAGGTCCGTCCATTTCCAAGAGATGTACGCTCAAAAACCACGTGCAATCAAACGATTTGCAGAGAGAATACATGCTCTTCAAACTAGATATTCTCCTGACGATGTTGTGTCATTGCAAATCTTTGTTCAGACAGTACAAGAAGAATCTCCAGATGATCTCATTGCATTTGAAGTCTCAGACAATAATATGTGTTTCTATTACGCGCCTTTTGAAGGCAAAGCTTATGCGCATAGTATCAAGACATTTCATATAGACAGCACCTATAAATTGTTGCGATCAAACATTCCATTGTATGCATTTACTGGCAAAATCAAAGATTTTCACATTTTCCCTTTTTTATATTTCTTTTGTCAACCAGACACTTATCAAAACATTCAAGTTTGCGTGTGCGCCTATCTCAGATGGGTAACAATTGAGCCAGAATACATTAGCATGGACTGTGCTCCACAGATAGCTCAAGCAATAGAAGAAAGCATTCCACAAGCTCAAATACTTTGGTGCGGAGTACATGTTCTTCGTGCAATTCTTCGCAAATCAAATAAGTTTTCTTCTCAAGAAAAATTTGAACAATTCTATAATTTGATGAAGGATTTAGTCTTCAAATTAGATGCAGAACATGAGGAAGAAGCAAATGCTGCCTATGATCAAGTTCTGGAGTTGCTCGACACAGATCCAACAGCATCTCAATACTTTAACAGACAATGGCGTTACAACATATCAAGATGGATTGCTCGTGACAGGCGTGAAGGCGACGCAACTAACAATATTGCCGAAGCTCATTTTAGAACACTCAAACATGACTATTTTCCTGATCGAAAAAATCTCAGAATTGATGATGTTATTATAGAAATTTATACAAAAGTGATACCATCTTTCGTTATCAAACTCAAAATTGATCAAAATCCAGCAGATGACCGTGTCATTAGGATCATGGAAAAAGCAACTAACGCAGAAATTGATGTAAAAAGACAAAGAAAAATCGAGAGTATTTCAATGCTCAATAGATTGCTCAATGCTGTTAGTGATGACTCAATAGATCCCACTAAAATATATCCTACCTTGAAAGTATTATTACAAAGAACTCATTTTATTTAATTTTGATTTTAATTTTAGATTAAATTATTAAATTTTAATTCTTTATTTTTTAGGATTGTTAGCTTTGTAAGATTGCTTTCTCACAAGAGAAAACAAGTATAAGGTTTAAGCTGTATGTATTAAAGTTATAAATATTTGATTTTAAAAAAAATCAAGATTTTAAACTTTAAAGGTATTAATTATGATTATCTTTCTTTAGCTTTGCATGCTGTATGCTACTTTTGGAAACTGCTCTATTGTATTAGAATGTTTTTAAATTTTGCACCTAAAAATGCGTAATATTAAAAATTAAGGTATTAATTATGATTATCTTTCTTTAGCTTTACATGCTGTATGCTACTTTTGGAAACTGCTCTATTGTATTAGAATGTTTTTAAATTTTGCACCTAAAATGCGTAATATTAAAAATTAAGGTATTAATTATGATTATCTTTCTTTAGCTTTACATGCTGTATGCTACTTTTGTCTTTGAGACATTCCATGATTTCAGTTAAGAAGCTTTAAAAAAAAATGCAAAAAAAATGTAATAAAATAAAAAAATTTTTAGTATTGATAATCTGAAATATGTTGTTTACTTAAGCCGCGAGCGAAGCGAGCGGCTTAGTTTCGTAATTTCATACAATCTTTTTTCGAATCTGTTCTTTTCGTCAGCCGCGAGCGAAGCGAGTGGCTTAGTTTCGTAATTTCATACAATTATTTTTCGAATTTGTTCTTTTTGTCAACCGCGAGCGAAGCGAGTGGCTTTTTATTTTTTTTAAAAATTTTTTTCCTTTCTTACTTTTTTTTCCCTTACTTACAAATTTGATAGTAACTTACCAAATCTCTCTATCATATAATAATAAATTAATCCATTTTTTGTTTCAAATCTGACACTTTACATTTCTGACATGTAAACTAGTCACTTTTCACTTCACCTCACTGGGCAAGTTTGTGCCCCCTCTCATTTTTTATATTCAGCAAAAGGAAAATTAATGAATGAGCCTAAACTTAGAAAATAAAGCTCCGGTTTCATTTATATTCAAACGATATTCAATTGTAAACTGAAAATAATCTATTTTTCAGAAATATGTTTTACCGAGATATCTAAATTCCTAAGTATAGTAATATTTCGGCAGGTTAATTGAATTCTGCTATAATTGAAATTAGAAGACCAGATGATATTCAAAAATCGCACCAAAATGTATATATTTATTCTACACATGTGCTCAACTTTCTAATTCTGCAATTTTGAAAGTTATATGATATATGATATTTTTGCCACAATTTTAGATTACAAAATATCTACCAAAAATGTAGGTAGGTAGAGTTTCATCTGATTCACACTTGCATTTGAACTATCTCTAATTCGATTTATTAAGCTATTAAGATATTATATGAGTAATTTTAACCTATGCGATGTTTAAATCATAAAAGAATAGCAAGGTCCTTTCTTATATGTTATTTTGCAAGACATAAAAGTATTCTGAACTTCACATCTTAGATCTTTTGATCTGGCAGCATAATTTCGTATAAAAAAAATCTTTTAACAAATAAATCCAGAACTGCCGCAGTCATTCATTTTTGAAATCAAAATTTTTCATTTTTCAAGTTTCATGCTTCTAAAAAAATGGCAAAAATTTTGTTAGATAGAGGCATTCAAAAAGCTTTAATATGGTGAACGAGAACATCGAAGAAAGTATTGCAAATTGCACCGAACTTGAAAAAGACATTGGTGAAGCCATATCAAGAATACCTGAAACAGAACAAGGCCAGCGTAGAAAACTTGTTCGTGAAATCGAAGAAAAAATTAAAGCATTAATACAAGATAGAGATTTCATGGATTGCGAAATCAACGAAATGCAACCAGGTGAAGAGAGAGATAGCTACCAAGAAAAACTCGAATATCATAATGAATGCATCAAGCAATTGCAAGATCAGTTAGTTATTGCTCAACGCGGTAGTGATCAGGAGAATCAAAAGAATGCGCAGGGGCTTATGGATGACGCTCTTAAACTTCAAAACATTCAGAAAAACTCTCTTGATAATTCCTTATCAATGGTCGAAAATATGAAACAAATCGGTGCAGATACAGCTGTAGAAATTAAGAGACAGCAAGAACAAATGCAAAAAGCTAGCTCAAACCTCGATAATATGGATAGTGAACTTGACAGAGCAAAAGTTGTTCTTAAGAATATGTTTGGCCGCGTAGCAGGTGATAAATGCATCCGTGTACTCGCAATTATCGTTGCTTTGACAATTATCGCTGCTATTGTAGTTTCAATTGTTAAACCAAGTGCAATCAAGAATACAGTTGAACAGTCATTTTCTAGCAGCGGTGGTACATCAGACAATAGCACTGGCATTATTTAATTTATTGAATTTTTTATTATTATTTTTTTAATAAAGCTCTATTTTGATTTTATTGTATTAAAAACAAATGTTATGTTTTTATCAAATAGAATTATCCCTTAAAAATGAATTTTATTAATCGAAATTTTTTATCGATAAAATCAAGCCTTGTATTCATTATGTAATATTATGTAAAGGTTAAATCCTTGGATTTTTAACTTTTACAGTCTTTATGAAGATATTTACAACCAATTCAGATTTAATGTAGGTAAACATCGAAATTCCATAGATAATACATAACAAATAATGCTTTGATGCATGGGGATTAAGAGATGATTCCCTTTTAATCATGATTTACAATAAGTTTAACATACTCTTTAAAAAAAGTTGATCGGAGTTAGCTATTTCAATCATCCATCCTGTGTATATTACGAATATTATGATCAAATTCTAATATAAAAGTTTCGGAAATAAATTCAATAATCGGATAAGAAAAAAGCTTTAATTTCCAGGAGTAAATAAAAAAACGTTTATCGATTTTTTTATATTAGAATAAAAAAAGCATGAATAAAAAAAAATAAGCAAAATTAATTTTCATCGAGGAATTTCTCTCTGACGGCGAAGAAATCTTCAGCAGCTTCAGCTTCTTCGAAGTCGTTCTTGAATGGATCGTCAGAGATATCGAGAGTGATAGATGTCTTCCACAATGGGTTATCATTAGTAATTGTTGCTCCTTCTGTCATGTTGTAATTGATTACTGTTTCTTCCTGCATCTCACAGATTGAATCATCAGAGCTCTCCTCGCGTTTCTTGAACCAGAAGATGAGGAATGCGATGATTGCAGCCAAAAGAAGGAAGCCAACAATAGCACCAATGATGATAGGAAGCCAATTCTTCTTCTTGGTCTGTGTGCCAGTAATGATATTCATTGTTTCCGTGGAGTTTTCACCGAGGTTAACTGATGAAATGGCTGGAGCAATTGATGCTGATGGAGAAATTGTGTAACGTGGTGTAGAATGGGGTGTTGAATGTGGTGTAGAATGAGGAGTGGAATGAGCTGTCGAATGAGGAGTAGAATGCATTGTTGAGAATGGTGTCTTGTGAGCTGTTGAATGTGGTGTAGAATGTGGAGTAGAGTGTGCTGTGGAGTGTGGAGTAGAATGCATTGTTGAAAATGGTGTTGAATGTGGTGTGGAATGCATTGTAGAGAATGGTGTCTTGTGTGCTGTAGAATGAACAGTGGAGAATGGTGTCTTGTGGGCTGTGGAATGTGGTGTAGAGTGTGGTGTGGAATGTGCTGTCTTGTGTGGTGTGGAATGTGCTGTGGATCCTGGTGTCTGAACGTTTGTCATTGGAGCTGTTCTGGCAACACTGTATGTGGCTGGACTGATTGGATACTGGATTGGTTTGGCTGTCTTGTATCCCAATGAACGTGTTGTGGCGTATGGAAGTTTGGTAATTGGTGTGGCCCTGTAAGTGTATTCTGTTGGATCGGCAACTTTAGATGTGCCATCGCCGGACGGAACAACGACTGGTTGGGATGGAACACTCTCGGAAGTAGTTGGCTCCTCGTATTGGTCACAGCCTGTCTTGGTGGATGCCATGGTGAAAATACCAATGATCATGCAATCATTGACGGAGGAAACATCCCAGCCTTTGTAGTTGTAGGAGATAAGTTTCTGTTGATCACTTGTGGCCCATTTGTTGATTGTGTCTTCAACAGATGCGAAATAGATATAACCGTCCAACATAATTTCATGTCCTGGGCCATTACCGAAGGATGTAGCGTGGCTGCCAGCGCTGTTTCCGGAATAGCAGTTCTTGTGTGAATTGAAAACACGCTTTTGGATTGTATTGTCAACAACTTTTTATCGTCTGAAGCAACGCAAATGGCACCGCCACCTCTTGCGCGGAATCTGGTGTTGTACTGGTCTTCGGCAAGATTTGTCTTTCCACTAATGGATTGGCCGCTAAATTGACGGAAAACGTTATTTTGTAAAGTGTTTTGGTAGAATTTGGTATTGAAGATCTTAAGGTTATCAGTGTTATGAGAATAGATGGCACCGCCTGCAAAAGCAGCATGGTTGTTTTGGCAAGTAGAATCTTCGAAATCAACTTCGGCTGGTGAAGAAAGGCATATAGCGCCACCGTATTCGTTGGCTTTGTTGCCGGTAAGAGTTAATTGTTGAATGATAAGTTTGTGAGTTGGGGAAACATTTGTTGGATCATCTTTGGAAACAATACCCTGGAAATAGATACCGCCACCATACTTGTAAGCTGTATTGTTTTTAAACTGAACATTTTTAAGGTAGATTGGAGAACCAATTGAGCACAACGCGCCACCCAAGTTTGCAGAGCAAAAATCGAAAATTGCTGAAGCTGACATTGTTGATGCTGTTGATTACATTGATAATATAAAATGTAAAATTGTTTTATAGAAAAATTGAAACCTTATGATTTGAATCGTTTTTAATCGTCGTTAGCTCCTAAAGTTATTTTTGAAACCTTTGATCAGAAAAGTCGAAAATGTGATTTGTTTAGATGTGCCAAATCACGAACTTACTACTTTAATTTTTTTCTTCAAATATTTTCTGAATTTTGAAAATGGTTTTCTCCCAAAATGGAATTGATGGTGGTATGATTATTATCTGCATAATTGATTAATCATAATTTTATCAAATATTTTGAACTATAGGAATAAATTTAAATTAAAATATAGTATTTTCTTTGTTTGGAAATAAATTGTAAGATTTATATCTTATGCTAGATAATAAATTATATTTATTTTACATTCTAATCGTTAGTGTTCGTATTGATTTTCAAATAATTGTTTTGATAAGAACGATGATTTTCAATTCAAATTTCTGACGGTATCTCAAAACTAAAATATTACTTCGATATTCATATTTAATCAGTTCGAAAAGCAGTTTTTCCAAATTTTGTTGATTTGAACTGATTTTCATTCAGATCAATTATATCGATTTTTTTGGAATTGCATTAGATTAGATTGGCTTAATAGAATCATAATGTGAAAGCAAGAAGAAAGGAAAGTCATGGCAATTTAAAAATTTTGATTTCAAATCACTTATTCTATATAACAATCCTATCAACCATTCACTTTGTCATTTTCTTGGTTAAATCTGTAAGTTCTAAGTTAAATACGTTATAACAACTATTGAATATAGAATCTCAATGAATTTGAGCATAGTTGCTATGTGTAATACATCCTACCATTCCTGGTAATTTAGTTTTCAAAAAAAAACGCTAAATAGCTTAAGTTATTTAAAAGCATCTAAAGGTGACCAAACTATTTTTTGAAAGTCCGCCATAACTTTAATGGTACTATTTCAGCGTGTACAATGAATACAAAAATTCTAAGAGTGCCACATAAAATAGTACTTTAGACTTGAGTTAATGCTACCAAGCAAATGTTAAAAAGATGACTTTAGTGTTTTGATAATCAAAGATTAAAATCATTATTGTCTAAATCAATAATCATAACGACAGAAGTTAATGTTTTTTCATAAGTGCTTTAAATCCACTTTTAAAAGTATACCTCAAAAATCAAAATATCAAAAAAAATTGGCCGATAGGTTTGGCTTTAATTTTTGTCTGCTTTTATGATTTGATATGGATGTTATAATTTTAAAAGTTGAGCCAAATTCACCAATAGATTTTTGAGATTTGCAAATACTCAATAATTTTCAGCGTGTTATCTTTTATTAAAAGAACTATTTGGTTTCAGTATCATATAAATTGATATTTACTTTCTATTTGAACCTTCATTTAGCTAATGATTTAATAATACAGATTTCATCTAGTCCTTATAAGAGAATTTTGAATTTGTTATAATAAAAAAACAAACAGATATAGCTTACACTTCTATAATAAAGATACCTTTTATAGAAATCAGTATGAAATGTTTTTTGGCTTATTGGAAGCATATCAGACATAATCGCCATAATCAAAAATTCTATATACCCAATAAGTAATAAATTTGTCGATATAGATTTTCCATAAAATTAGTTTTTAGTCTGATCTTAAAATAAATTTAATTTTTTATAAAAAAAATCACATTTAAAAGTACCTTTTTAGTAGCTCGAAATCCTGTTGGTGGATTTCGGGCGTACTTCAAAATTAGCTTTTCTTCTACATATGCAAGCTATATTTTAAATATGGAGCAAATCGGATCGGCGAAAGGAGTTTAGTTACCTTTAAGCATCTTTAAAAATAGTTCTGATATTAATGATGAGAACAGAACAAACATAAACTTTCTGCACTTTTTCAGATGATTGATTATTGGTGGTTTGGGAGCTTTATCCTGGATTCAGAGATTTAACCCGCAGTTTTTTCGAGTGGGAATTGGGTTTCAATAGCTTTCTATGCTTTTCTAATTGAGTTAGTAAATGATTTAGCTAAGTCTTAATTTAAAATCTTTTGATCCCAAACCAATGATGAAGGAAAAACCTATATTTAAATAATGAAGACTATTCCAAATGATGCACAAATCGTTCACAATCATTGCAACAGAAGTTCAAACTGTGATGTATTGTTGTGGTGATTATTTTCAATTCAATAATCACTCTGATCAATAAATACACTTCAATTGATTATATGTACTGAGTGACAATTCGTCAAACGATGGTCTGAAATTTCTCAGCATTGAATTTTATCGGATTTTGTTTCAATTCCAAATTCTATGAGCGATTTCGAAACTATTGAAACAGAAGGAGCTCATGGAATTAGCCTTCTTACAAAAATAATAATAGGAGTTTCTGTAGCAGTTGGAATCATTGTCATAATCACTGTTTTAGCAGTTGTTTTGACTGAAAAGAAAAAAGATTCCGATGTGTCACCAACTCCAGTACCAACTCCAACCATATCACCAAACCCTTCACCATCTCCAACACCAACGCCAGCTCCACAGCCTCCATTTCATTCAATTGAGTACTATGAAGATTTGATTGAAAAAATTTCTCAGTTTTTAGTAAGTATACAAGCTACAGATGGTGCAATACCTAATCATAAGATTCATAGTTATCAAGCTGCCTTAGTAAATGCATATTTCGCATGTTTTGCAATTAATGGTTTACTTGAAACACAAAATGCAAGCTATTATACCAATATAAAGCGTTACTTTGATTGGCATTTTGCCCATTTGAACCATGGTGTTGAAGGGTATATCGATGGTACGATATTCTCATATAAATATCAAAGATTAGCTGATACAGAAGGTTACAACATAACTTCTGATGGCATGGATTCTGTAGATTCATATGCCGCTATGTTTATCTACGAACTTCAAAAATATGCCGAGCAAACATCCGATTTTGATTATTTACTTGAACATAGATCTGATATCGAATTAGTTTTGTCTGCTTTGACAGATCCATCTGTATTTAATGAAGGAATGACATATGCAAAACCAGACTATAAGATTAAATACGCAATGGATAATAGTGAATCTTTCATGGGATTGAAAGCAGGAGTTTGGATTGCGAAAAATGTTTTCAAAGATGATGCGAAAACACAATTATACGAGAATTACATGACTACTTTGAATGATACTTATGAAAGATCTCTTTGGAGAGAAGAGCCAATAAAAGGATACCTTTCTCATGTTAAGGAGAAAGCTCTTAATTTATCAATTTACTATCCTGATGCTGTTTGTCAATTATCTCCTATTATGGGATTTCAGATTGATCCTTTAGGAGAAAGAGTTCAGTTCTTAATGAATAGATTTGTTGATGAGCATCCTTGTTATACTGATCTTTCATGTAGAATTTTCCCTTGGGGACATGTTGGTGTAGCTTTGGTTGATGGAGGATTTTATGGCGTAGTTGAAAAATGGATAGAAGCAGTCAAAGAAAAATATATTGATACTGGCTTTAAGAGTAGTAAATTTTATTGTGCAGAAATGGGACATGCAATTTACATGTGTCGGAAACTAATTAACGAGATTAAAAGAAGATCAAACTGAAAATCATGATAATAATTTGTAATTTCATTTGTAAAATAAAATATTAGTATATAGTGTTTATTGTGAGAATATTTAACTCTTTTTGCGTTTAGTTTCTCTTATTTCAAACTTAAAATGCTATGTTGAGAAAATAATTTAAAAAATTATGATTTTTAATTTAAATTTATTAAAAATTTAAATTAAAAAAGATGTAAAGGTCATTTGGCCGAGTGGTCTAAGGCGCCAGTTTAAGGCACTGGTCCGCGAGGGCCTGGGTTCGAACCCCAGAGTGACCATTTTTATTATTTTTTGCAAATTTCGAAATTCCTTATTCCAATATCGTACGTTCTAACTTACAGATTATGTAATCTTATTTGAAGCAAAAACTGCTTTCTGATATGAATTCTTTATCTCAATCCGTAAGTTTATTGATTTCGAAAGAAAATAATTCCCTATCATACTAATTTCGATAAAAAAAGACGCAGAGGGTGTTATTTCAATAAATAGATTACGATTTTATAAATATCATAAAATTTTCTCACAAAATAAAATAATAAAAATTATCTAGCAGCAGCCTTTCCTTGTGTTAGCTTTGGTTAAGTTTGGTGATGGACCAAACTGTGATTTTTGAACAGCATTTCCGAGTTTTGCTCCTACAGCGTTAAATAATTCGTCAATGCCAGTACCTGTTTGAGCAGAAGTATAAAATACTTGACAATCATGCTCCCTTCCCCATTCATCTATTTGTTCTCTAGTTACACATGCATTTAAATCAATTTTATTCGCACATAAGAATATGGGGCATTTAATTCCCATATCTCCGCGAACTTTGGTTACCCAATCCTCGCAACCATTGAAGGATTCTTCATTAGTAATATCGAAAACTAAAATAAGGAGTGATGCATGGCGAGTGTAAAGCGGAACGAGAGATCTGAATTTTTCTTGTCCAGCTGTATCCCATATAGTAAGTTTAACATCTCGATCCTTATTTTTTATTGTAACTTGAGCTGTTGAGACGCCAACTGTGGGTGTCGTATTTCCTGTAAACCTTTCGGAGGTAAATCTTCCGACTATACTAGTCTTTCCAACATTAGCATCGCCAATCAGGGGAACTTTATATGTTTCGCCGTCCTGACCTGGAAGATGCTGCATATGAAATGAATCGAAATTCTGATATCGTCACCTTTTCTGATAGAATCAGGTGAGATTTTTAGCCCATTTTAAGTTGCTTAATGTGTACTTGTATAAATTAAATTAAATCGATGATAATTTTGAGAAATGTTGGGTAACCAATTCTATCCAACCAAAGGTGACCAAACTGTTTTTTGAAAGTCCGCCATAACTTTAATGGTACTATTTCAGCGTGTACAATGAATACAAAAATTCTAAGAGTGCCACATAAAATAGTACTTTAGACTTGAGTTAATGCTACCAAGCAAATGTTAAAAAGATGACTTTAGTGTTTTGATAATCAAAGATTAAAATCATTATTGTCTAAATCAATAATCATAACGACAGAAGTTAATGTTTTTTCATAAGTGCTTTAAATCCACTTTTAAAAGTATACCTCAAAAATCAAAATATCAAAAAAAATTGGCCGATAGGTTTGGCTTTAATTTTTGTCTGCTTTTATGATTTGATATGGATGTTATAATTTTAAAAGTTGAGCCAAATTCACCAATAGATTTTTGAGATTTGCAAATACTCAATAATTTTCAGCGTGTTATCTTTTATTAAAAGAACTATTTGGTTTCAGTATCATATAAATTGATATTTACTTTCTATTTGAACCTTCATTTAGCTAATGATTTAATAATACAGATTTCATCTAGTCCTTATAAGAGAATTTTGAATTTGTTATAATAAAAAAACAAACAGATATAGCTTACACTTCTATAATAAAGATACCTTTTATAGAAATCAGTATGAAATGTTTTTTGGCTTATTGGAAGCATATCAGACATAATCGCCATAATCAAAAATTCTATATACCCAATAAGTAATAAATTTGTCGATATAGATTTTCCATAAAATTAGTTTTTAGTCTGATCTTAAAATAAATTTAATTTTTTATAAAAAAAATCACATTTAAAAGTACCTTTTTAGTAGCTCGAAATCCTGTTGGTGGATTTCGGGCGTACTTCAAAATTAGCTTTTCTTCTACATATGCAAGCTATATTTTAAATATGGGGCAAATCGGATCGGCGAAAGGAGTTTAGTTACCTTTATCCAACCATAATTCTTGAATAAGCAAGAATATAGGTAATAAAATTAGCTTTTATTATGTAATATAGATGTCATTTGTATTCGAAATTGACAATATACTTATTCCTTGAATAATGAAGTTGCAATTGCCAGCATTTATACTCTTATTTGTATTGTTGACCGCTAGAACTTTATTGGAATATCCTAATGTTTATGTGCATCGAAATACTATTAAAAATATCTTAAATCAATAAAACTTACACTAATATTTATTCACAAATAATAAAATTAAGTAGCTCGGTAGCAGAGTCGGCTACAAGGTTATTATCTAGGGATATTTCATTAAGAATATCTTCTGCACCCAAGCTTACCAGAGTAGATCGCATTTCATCTGCCCTTCCTTCATCATTCATCTTCCTTTGTATCATTGTGAGGATTAAACATATCTGTCTTTGTGTCTTGGAGGATGATTCAGCTAAATTAGATAACAACGTTTCAATCATTGTATCTTCATAGAAGTAAAGAAAATTAAATGCGTCTTTCCTCCTTTCTATTATATCTATAACAATTAATTTTGCCTTCACCCTTCCATCAATTAAAATATCATGAAATTGTTGAAGCAAATCAGTTTCATTAAGTAATTTTACAAATTTTCTCTCATCAATCAATCCTATACACTTGAGTGCTTCAGTCTGGATAGCAAATGATTTGTGTTTTATGAGAGAAACCACTTTCTCATAATTTAATGTTCCAATAAGGATGCTGTTTTCTAGTAAGCGATTGAAAAGCTTTAATCCTAGCATTTTAATTGTGGTATGGTGGATATACAGGAAGCAATTGTTCATGTATGGAAGGAGATTATATTTATTCCAAAGTGTATCCCAAACGGCGTTTGTTCCAGCTTTAACTAGGAGAAAAAGTATGCTTTCTAAGATTGGCTTGTAGTTTTCATCAAAAACAGGCTCTGATAAATTCGGATCAGGAATTATTACTGATAATAAATGAGAGGCACAGTCAAACACTGGAATAAGTTCTTCTTGATTGAATTCTCGCCCTAAAAATTTGCAGTATGTAGACAATAGATTAATAGCTACTGTAATATATTGAATATCTGAATTATTCATAATGGTTGAAATTAACGAAGGTATATCAATTATCTGTACTATTGCTCTCGTATAATTGTCGTTGCTTGCTATTTTGTTATATATTGAAAAAACGCAAGTAAGTATCATTAAGTCATTTTTCTGGATCAACGGTGCTGTATGTTGTATTAGATCATCTACTATTTCGTCATTTAGTGTAACTGCGTCAGTGACTGTGAAAGATTCTAATAATATTAATCCGAATTGAATATTTGTAAGTGCAGGTGAGGATATTTTTGAATATATTGTCTCTAATATCGAGTTACATATGTTTGTTTTATATACATTGTTAAAAAGGGAGTAAGATTTAACAACATTAATTGTATTATCTATTGATTCCTGAGAATTCATATCTGTCTTTTCTAATATATCGAGAACTGATGTAACTGTATATGTTTCTTGTTTAGTTATCTCCCCATTATTAAGTTTTAGAGAGATAATTGATGACATTTTGTATTTCAAAACGTACATAAAGGCAATTCAAAAAGAATCTCATTTAAAATTTATAAGTGTCCGTGTCATTTGAGTTCTAAATAATTATTTCATCTGAAAATGATCTTTAAAAGGCTAAATTAATTCGATTTGTCTCCTTATTAAAGAACGGAACCGTGTGATAACATGATTATATTGCCGCAAAGCTATTGTTCACCACTATGGAACATCTTCTCTATTGGGGTAAGAAAATAGAATCAGGAATACGCACGAATCAATGAATCCTGTAATACGCAACTTTAGTTATCATGAATGCTACATTTTCAATCTTTTGTATTATGAAAATCATATTATATGGCCTACAAAAGGAAGATTGAAAACAGTTGGTGATATTATGATGAGATTGAATAGAATATGATACTAATATGCAATCTAAGGCTGATGAGCTATTGATGGCTTAAATTTTACAAATGTTAATTCAGATAAAAAATTGTTTAGAAACTTATGAGAGTTCTTTCTCCAAAGATGTAACCATGATGTAAAAATGCTGTATATTGTATCAATTCATGCCAGGGATAAAAAAACTGAAATTGAAATTTGCCATGCAAATCAATTGAATTCTTTATTCATTATTTCCTTTTCCCACAATAAGGCTAATAAAAAATAATAATTTCAAAAATTTATCGGGTGCAATAATCGTTCTTATTGTCAAATAGAACATTTCAATTAGCAATGAGTGAAGTATCAAGAAATCCTTCATGCAAAGTTGTTATTCTTGGTAATTCCGGTGTTGGTAAGACATCTCTTATCAACAGATGGACAACCGGAACCTGGAGCAGCACAGTTAAACCAACTATCGGCGCAAATCATCAAAGAAAAACAGTTCAACTCTCAGAAACCCACGTTGATGTTTTTGTTTGGGATACAGCTGGCCAAGAGCAGTTTCAATCTCTTACTCCACTTTATGCACGTTCTGCTGCTTGTGCAATCATCACAGCAAGTATAACAGATGCAATGTCTTTTGAAGCTATTCAAACATGGATTGAATTACTTAAAAATGCCTGCGAAGTTATGCCTCCTTTAGTTCTTGCCGTTAACAAAATTGATCTCCTTAACCAGAGTGGCGTTAAAACAGAAAGCGAAATAGAAACGGAATACGGTAGCCTATTTTCGGCAGTCTTCTTCGTTTCGGCTCAGTCTGGCGAAGCCGTTGAAAACGCTTTCACATTCGCCGCACAGAAGGGTTACGAGTTCATGGTTGGCAATCAGCCAATCAAGGCTCAACCTCTCGAGCCAAAGAAGGAAGATAAGAAATCATGCTGCTAAATTTGGATATCCAAACCAAAAAGTATGCAGTTTGTAGGTATTGTAAATCTCTATTCATTTTTTCTTTCTGATAATCTATATTTTCATCAAATTACTACAAAACAATTTTTGTTTGAAATATTTCGTTTTAAATTCTCCATTTAAATCTGAAATTATTAAAATTTATTTACAAAACTTAGCCAATATCCAATTAACGCCAAGATAAAATTAATTATAAAAGAAATTTGAAAATTAGCTCATAAAAACTTAAGAAATGAAAATAATTCGCTGCGTTAGTTACAGATGAATTAAAATAAACTTTTAAAAAAGAATTCAAAAATAATATATAAAAAGTACGCAATTTTCTATATTTAATTTTTTGGATATGTAACAGTATTTATTGCTGCTGTTGCTGCTGCTCCTGATTTCTCTTTTGTTCGAAATATGAGTCTGGAATGTGGATATCTTGAGCTTGGATCAAATTGAACTCGCGAGCGAATCTTGTAAATCTCTCACATAAATGTGTTTTCTCTTCTAGCTCATCAAAAACTTCTCTGTGGCAAATATAAGAATAGCTAAAAACACGATAAAGACGGCGCATATATGTCATAATAAGATTAAGTCCATCAGGATTGATAACACCTGATGGGAACTTTGTTTGGTCTAAGATAGCAACTGTTGCCATATCAACAGTTTGAGTGATGTAATCTATAGCTGGAACAGGAGCTGGTGGATTTTTAGCAGCGGATCTGCATTCGACGAAATTTCCGTTGATTGTAAATTGCATTTTAGGCATTGTTTCGGCTGTACTAACAAATCTATGTTCGTAAGCGAAGTAATTTATTTCTTTAAGGAATTGTCTGAAGCTTGCATAAATCCAGCTATTTTTGTCGAGCTTCTCAGGGCATTTGACCAGGCGATCAATATCATTTGGATATTTCTTTAACAAAGCTTGAATATAATACTGAACTGTCCTGTATTCTGTAGGGTCCTCTTCAAATGGAACATTGTTAAACTCAGCTTTTCCGGTACCTGGCTTATTCACAAATGACTTCATATGTTGTAGAAAAAAGCTGTCACTTTTTGAAATATTTAGGGGATTGTTACTTGAACCCCCAAAAATAAAACTTTCGTAAAATCTTGATTCTGAAATCAATGAAAATATGATTATCATATATCTATCATAGTCAATTGCAATTAAATGAAACTTCAAATTAGGAAATCCTTTGATTTGGGATTTTCGATCTATACCAAAAGAGGAGTCAAACTAGTAGTCATTATGAAAAATTATAACTTAGTAGCGTCTAAGAACAGTTAGATTGCAGTAGTTAACCAAAAGTAAAACTTGATCAAAGATAAAAATATCTCTTAAGAGATGGGAAATTTGAAATGATATAGTAACAATAAGCATTGTATCCTAATCAAAGTAAAATTGTTTTGTTTCATTGAAATATCTAAAAATATCTTTATTAAAAACAAATAAAAACACTAATCTAATAAGTACATATTATTATCATGGCATCCACAAATGATTTGTGAAGGATGCCTTGGCGACCATTGACATTTTGAAATAACCATGTTATTTGGTGTTGAAAATGTCTTCATTTGGGTTGTACTCTTCCAATCCCAGATGTGTATTACACCGTCTTTATCTCCTTGGACGAGGAAGCCTCCATCCGGAGAAAATGATGGTCGACATGGAAAACTCTGAGTTTCGCAGCCAACAAAGGATCTGTTTACATCTGGCTCTAATGAATTCGATGTAACTTTGAAGACAGCAATTTCTTTTCCGGCCATTTGAGCTGCAATTGCTGATTCTTTCGGATGAGCAACTAATGCAGTAACTGCGGACATCCATGGCTGCTGGCAGACAAATAATGGCTTGTCTATGCCCATTTCCCATAGAGCTATCGATGTATCTTCGGATGAAGTTACGAAATATTTCGTTCCTGGAAGGAAAGCAAGTGATAATGTGGGTTTTGTATGGTAATTATATACCAAACATTTTTCTTTGTTTCCATCTAATCTGAAATCGTAATGAACAGCTGATCCATTGGCTAATGCAACAATAATTTCTTCTGAGTGGTCTTCCAAGGGAGGAAATGCAATTCTTACGGGTATATCATCTAAAAGAATATTATTAAAGACATTTCCATGGTCTGTTTCCCAATATTTCAACTTTTTTCCGAAACATATACTTGCAAACTTCATTCCGTCTCGATTAAACGCGATATCTCTAACACCATTCTGGTGCCCGATGTAAGACTGTATGCATTGTCGATCGCCGAATAAACTCCAAATTCTGATTGTCGAATCTAGGGAAGAAGAAAGGATGAAATGGCCATAATCTGGTATCATTTCGCAATCTGTAATCATTGCAGTATGATAGCTGTATGTATGAATGTTTACCTTTGGAAGACAGCATTCATGAGGAACTAATTGAAGATTTAATGGAGGTTTGACCCAGCTACGGCCAAGATGATCTTTATGGTTGATAACATTGAACCAAATAGCAGTATCTTCTAATTCTTGGTTACCAACAAGGGGTTTCCAAGTTCTATTCTTTAATTTGTTAGCGTAAGCAACACGATCAAATATAGGAGCTTCCTTTTCTGGTGCTTTTGATTCATCCCATGGTATTACTCTCTTATGTTTGTGCGATTTATCTGTTTTAGATTTTTCATTTTTCTTGTGATGCATTTCTTTCCAAATTGAATCAAGCATTGTAATCTCTTGTCTATCTTTCATGGATTTCTGTTCCATAAATTTTTCTTGTTCCGCTATAGGAAGATTTGCCTGAATAAATTTGGATTGTTGAGGTTTTTCTGCAAAAATATCAGTGTTTATGATTTTAGGGGCAATGTCAACTCCAACTTTCATTGCGAATGACATTTCTAGATCATCCGATGAGTCAGAATTTGAAAAATCATTCATTTGTCAAAAAAAAATAATAAAAAAAGAAATGGATGAATACAAAGACAGTTGTAATCAAGAGGTTAACGAAAACACATTAGCTAATAATGAAGAATTTAATATGGAAAAATTTACTGCTGCTGTTCAAATGTTTTGCAATAAAGAAGGAGATGAAGAAACATTCGAGAATACAATTGAATATATAGCATCAATGATATCAATTAATATGCAAAATGAACCAGTAAGGAATGAGATATCAGAGATATTTCGAGAAAATCAATTTTTTTACATATTAATTGAAATTATTGAAAACGAAATTGATTTACCATATGCAGATCCGATTCTGAAGTGCTTATATATGATCAGTAATCTCCCCAATTATCGACAATCTAATGATTTCGAAATATTAATTGAATTAGCAATTAACATATTAAAAAACATAAATAGCGCAACCATTGAAGGGAAAATATTTATGATTTTATATGCCTGCGCTAAACAGGAAGATTTGCATTCATTTTTTGATTCATCTGGGTTTATTAAAATTTTGAATAAGAAAATGAGACTTCCTAACTTCAAATATATTATGAATTTATGTAAGAAATGCTGTATGTTCTCAAATTATTATACAAAAGAATTTTTCAAAATAATGAACAAAATCATTGAAAATAAACGGTTTCAAGAGCAGAAAAACATATATTATCATGCAATGCTTCAGTACTCCAATGCTATAGGTTCATATATATCAAGAGGATATTCAGAATTAGAATTAGTTGATCAATCAGATTTTTTACGTCTAATTATTAATTTTGCAGATGATTTTTATTTATCCGAACTCCTAAAAATAATGAAAACCATTCTTTTACTTGGAAATGAAAGAATTTATAGGCATAATTTACATTTATTTACATGTAATTATATTTCCAATATTTTGGAACGAAAATTATCAAATGAAGATGCTGTTGTTATATTTGAAGTAATAGATATTCTTTTTGACAAGTATAGTGATACAATTCAAGATTATTTGATTAATCAGAAGTTTGATTTGTTTTTAAATTATATTGATACTTGTTATGAAGTCAAGTTGAGAGTTATTAATATATTCCTTACAATGATCATGAAATTAAGTGTCTCGACTGCACAATATTACTTTATAAACATTATAACTCCGATTCTTCATGAATTATCAGAAGATGAAGATTTAATTAACAAGAAAAAGCTGAAACTTGCGATTTTGAAACTTCTACAAAATCTTGATGAAACAGATGATAATTATGAACTTCTTACAGAAGCCGCAGATAATATTGAAGAAGATGATGATTAAAATATACACAGTTGAGACATACGTAAATTAATTTGAAGAATTTATTTGTTCTTCTATTAACATAATTAGCTATTTTTTTCAACTTTTATGAACTTGTATTAGCTGAATAGTATATAGTATATTATCATATTATTAATACCAATGCTCTTTTAATACGTTTTAATGTATTTACAACATCTTTGGCGGTTTTGTAAATTCATTTATTCTGCGAGCAAAATTCATTCATGGATCATAAAGTGTATTTTGATCTAATGAATTTATGTTCTGTAATTAATGATGTAATTGTTTCATTGTTCAGTTTAGAAACCTTTGATAGTTAGTATACATATCATGGGTACTGAGGCACTGCGCGCCTCCTTACCCCTGATATGTGAATTTGACACTTTACGAAACCGTTAACGTATATTTTACAACACAAACGACAACACCACTTAACTTAAATATTTACAAAGCCCAACCACTTCACCTCACTAATGTTTTCACAAAACGACTTCACTACTGTAAAAATAAACGTTCTCACTTACAAAAGTATTGCAGCGTTCCCATGTGTGCTTCACATAACAGCTCATAATCTTCTGACTCACTTTTCTTCTTCATATAGGTCAAAATCACTGTCATAGTTATACCTGTTAAGTTTTGACAAAGCTAATGAAACACGCTTACCATTTTGTATCGTATGCTTGTATAACTTTCCATTATGCTTTAGTCATAAAACGCTCAAACTAACTTTACCCTTTCTCCCTCGTATCTGATAGAATGTATTTTCACGAGGAACGAAGAACAAATTCTTGAACTCATGACCGTTGTAGTTTGTTATCTCAATAGTTTCGTCATTTATATAAAATAAATAAAAAAATAAAATAAAAAATAAACTTAAAAATAAATGATATCACCACCTCACACGTATGAAAACATCCATTTAAATTTAGGTGAAGTGGTTGAATCTCACCTCTTTTCACCCTGTTGAATTCATTACTTTATAACTCTCTTCCTTTCTCCAACTCTTCTAACTTCTTTAAGTTCAGCAATGTTGTCCTCATGAAGTTTAATCTTCTCAAAATTCCTTCTCTATCTAATGGTTGCTTTATCTTTCTAAACTGAACTCTACCATCCTTCATAGTATGAATGTAAAAACCTTCTGGAATAGTTCCTGATTTAATGTATTCTACCAAAAACTTTTGTTTCATTGCTTCAGTGACTTTAGTCGTCATTTCAATCAAATAAAAATTTTAATATTAAATAAAAATAACGTTATTTTTTCAGTAAGGAAACGCAGGAGTTTTACGATTTATTTGAGGAGTAGTTCTGGTTTAAATGTTGGAGTCGGTTTAGGAGTTGACTTTTGAACAGGAGTTTGTACTTCCATAGGTTCAGGAGTCATTGAAGGTTTTGCTTGTGAAGGTGTTGGAGTTTGTTTAACTTCAGCTACTTCAGTATTATTTACAACATTTGCTTTATTTCTTTTCAACATCATTACTGCTCCTGCTGTAGCTAGCAAACCTAGTGGGAGACCATATTTTATATAAGGACTTGACCAAATGCTATTTTGACAGGAGCTGGTGGAACACCTAACCTTGGTGAACTGCTCTTTGCCATTGTGCAGCTCGTAAGAAATATTCAATAGGTGCTCCATAATCGTTTGGTAAAGTTTGTTTCATAGATGGTGAAGGTTCACGAGAGCTTGATGAAGAACTCATTTATAAGCTTTAAAAATAAACGTTCATCCTTTATTCCTCACTGTCGTCCGTAGCTAAGTTATAGTCATCTAATCTTATTATGGGATTCCATTAGCACGCACCTGAATGGCAAAGCAACAATCCCTCATAAATCCAATAAGTGGCTTTGGTACATTTTCAGTTGCTAGTTCAATAGGTCCTTTAACAGACAATTTGTATGTTATTGGAGCAGTAGATGTTTGACCTTGCTGGAAGCAAAAGTCCACTTCTGTTGGAAAACCACATAAGAAATGTGTGTTGTCATAGCTATCCCATTTATGTTCCACACTACCATCATCCACCAATGACCTCATAACATCTTCATTAAATCCTATCATATCATTGTTTGTATTGCAAGCGTTCGCAACCATTTCATAAAATACAGGTCCATATGATTTTTCAGGTTCTGCAGGCATATTTCCATAAGCTCCCATGGAAAGCTGAAGATATTTAAACTTAGGGTTCTCAAAATTAACATAATAGTTGTCTTTCTTTCTAAATAGTGCCCAAATACTTTTAACATTAATAGGCGTATAAGCTGCTGTAAATGTTGCACTTGAACTATCTGTATTCTTTGAGAATGAACCGTCCATAGGAATCCAATCCATAACTTTAACAGGAAAACATAAAGCCTCGTTTGTATAATGTTCTACAAGTTCTGTATAAATGTTAGGGTCTAAAGAGAATGACTTTGGATGAATGAAACATTCATTAAAATCCATCTTTGTTCGAAATAGTTGCTGGTTACAGTTGTAATAGTAACTGTTCCACTAGCTTCTACTGCCTTCGTTATCATAGTGAATGGTTCATTCCATGGAACAAATTTATTTGTCGGTGGATTTGAATCTGAAGCAAATGCAACTTTAAGAGTTGGATTGAAAGCAATGATATCATTTACAGATATAGATGTGCATTGTAAGGCGTCGCTACTGAACTTTACTTTAAGCTGAATGTTTCCTGCAAAAGCTGGAATAAATCGAATAGCTTCTAATGGAAGGAATCTTCTAACAGGAATTCTTAAACGAAGCTTAAAATCAAATGATTTTCCTGCTGTAATTGGACCACTAACAATTTGTCCTGTTCTGCAGTTCCCGAATGACTCCATACATCTTCATGTCGAGTCTTTGAGAAAACATCTACTTTCTTTATTTGTTCGTAGTTTGTGAGTTTGAAGTTATATATGCTTCTTCTCTTGCGTTGTCTTGAGAATATACGATACGACCATTTGCAAGGATTTGATATCCAGCAACTGCATAGAAAGCGTCATCGAAACCAATCCAAAATCCTGGTGGGTTTGTTTTATTGGAACCTGAACCAATTTCTTTATCTACAATAAATTGACCTTCCATTTTATACGTAATGAATGTATTGTAAAGGTCCAACATATTTTCACCAGGAGGTGAGAGATTGAATGTTACCCATGTGTTATCTTTAGCAGTTCCAGGTTGTGATGGAATCTTTGCGTCAGAATATTTTCTATTAGTGTCACCAATTTGAACTGCATTGTCTATGATATCGAAATATGAGCGAATCTGATGAATATGCTCTGCTGGAGTAAATTCGTTTAACTGTTCGTTCTGCATGTATTTACTTCGGATAAAAATATCTATTTACTTCATTATTCTCACTCTTCTTCTTGGCATTCGTGGTGGAAGTTGTTTCTTGACATTTTCAATGAACTGTACATTCTCTTTTGTCTCAACTTCTTTCACTGGTGGGTCAGGTTCTTTGACTCGGTTTGTTTTTCAATGAAATTCAAACTTTGCAATAAGCTCTTGGTTCGTTATTGAAAGTACATCTGGCTTCTTTTCTTCTGTTTTTGGTGGCTCAGTTTGAACAGAAGGTTTTATATGGGCTTCGTGGGCTTCGCCCTTGCCATGCACCTTAATGTTGTCGCTTTCTGCATTCGCTAATGGAACCTTTCTTTTTCTTACGTATATTTTACCATCTTTACTCTGACTTACGTAATAGAAAGGATGTTGTATTCCTCTTGCGTCATTTAATATAATAGACTCTCGCTCTGATTTTGACAAGCTCATTTTACATCGGTTAAAGTTTTAATTTTGTTTTTTATCTGCAGTCAAATGACTCAGACAAGCCCTACGGACAAGACCAAGGGGTCATAGATGTTGAAGCATTGAAGAAAGAAATTCGTGAGCAAATTTTATCCGAACTGAAGGAACAAAAACAAGAACAAAAGCCAGAGAGACCAAAGAGAAAACTTAGTGAAAAACAACTTGCTGCATTAGCTGCTGGAAGACAAAAGAACCCACGTTTGCTGGCGAAGAAAGCTAGAGAAGAAGCAAAAGCAAAGGAAGAACAAAAAGCTAAAGAAGCTGAAGCAAAGAAAGAGTAAATGGTTTATTTTTATCCGAACTAAATGTATAGACAAATACCTTTATCTGTTGCGTTCAGTAGTGAAAACCCTGACGTCAAAATAAAGGGGAACAGAGTAACGTTTAAGTTTCCAACAGACTGGATTGTGAACATAAATGAAGAGAAGTACATTGGCATAACATCTATGTATATAACACGTGCTTTCAGAAAGGTTGACTTTATACTTCAAGTCGAGATAGAAAATGACGAACAGTCTTTAAGCGCCCAAAACATTCACATATACAAATACTTTAAAGACGATACAACATTGTTGCAAATGTATGATTTCATTTAATGAGATGTTCGAGAAAAAGTTCAACATTGAAGTACAAACTTTACAGCCTTTACGTGAGTTTCTTGCACAACTGAAAGAAGAAGGTAGTCAGCCACAACTTATAGACTTTCATTATGAATTTAATGAAAATGAAGATGGAACACATGACTGTCAGTTTGTTGTATTCTCACCATTCAATGAAGTAGCTAAAAGAAAGAAAATCCATTACGTATAAGATTTCAAATCTCTGAACCAAGTGATGATTTCAAGAATGTTTTCAATTATGATGCAATGCTTCCGAGGAAAAATGAATTTTCAAAGATTGTAACACCTGGCATTTGGGATAGAAAGCAAGCTATATTATATTCAAACTTAAGTAAGGGAGTTGAAAATGAGTTCATTGGTCATACAAGAACTTCACCACTTCCTAACCCTAAATACTATAAATTAACTGGCTTCAATCGTGAGTTTTGGATAGACATGTTCTCCACTCATGACCATAACTGCCCAGTGTTCTTACCTCCAGACCATAAGGACTGTCTCTACATTGAAGCACAACTCTTAAACTCTACCATCGCAGTATTGTAAAATCTACGCTAGCTTTATTTTTATCACGAATGACCTCATTTCTGACA